CATAATAATCGTCTGTATTTCCTTGTAGAGCAGAAACAGAATTATACCTTTCCGTTTTATTCGTTGTGATTCAATCTGTCCTCAATCGTGTGACGTTTCAAAAATCAGACTATATTAAATTTGTTTTTAATTTTGTTGAACCAATACACTAGAGACACTATTTTATAAATGGATACTTGTAAATCAATAATTGATGGGGGGGGGATTGAGTTCAATAGGTGGCTACACTGCAGCGGTTGCTTTCTCGGGGCCTATTTACTGCCCCCTCGAGATCCGAGAAACCGCTTGATCTGTGCGTACGTACATACTTCGGTGGCAGAAATGGGAAAGGCCAACCATCTCATGCTTAACGGATGGTTTCCTTCCACTTGCCGGTTTGTATTTGCTTTACGGCAGCCAAGCATGAGCCGGTAGTTGAGGAACCAACCGCAAGAAGGGCTTCAAAACAGCGCAACCATCGTCATCACTATGGCCGTCATAAACAGAAGAGAAACGACTGTGTTTTGGGATAACCAGTTTAATTAATCACTTAGCTGAAGTTCAGCGATATTGTGCCTTTATATTCAAACACGCCACTGGTACATTAATAGCTTTGTAACGTGGTTTACTCTTCAGTGAGAATTGTGTTACGGTGGATGATTATAAGGATATGTGTTTTTTCTTTTAAATGACTGTATACGTTTATCAGACAACTGATGATGTATATTCATTGGGTGGATGACATAAAGAAGGGTTCTCAGTTCGCGACCCACTGGTATTTTTGGTACGGTCCTGTTCTGTTTCTTGTAATAATTGTGTTAACTGATAGCAGAGAATACGTTTTGATAATATAGTCGGTTTTTGGCAGGAAAGTACCGCTATGAACCTCTTTACTCATGTAATTTATTTAAAGTTTCTTTTTCTTAGGTTATTTTTATTTTTTGCAAATGTTTCGGGGGTGAGTGAATGGGAATTATAACAGAAATTTGTCACTGAAAGATTAATCAGTGAATAGCAGTATCAATTATCTCACGAATAGCCAGTTTTTTTTAAAAAAAAATATTAATATGTGAACATTAGTATAATACTAGGCCTAATTTAGTTTTTAATTTGTAATAAATTGCCATGACGACTCAGTAAATTTTCTTGAGTTATCAATTAAAATGTGAGTAGCGGAAGGTCTACATATAGCAACTGGAAGTGAATTTGGACATCGGACGAATAAATGAGTAGGCTGAAGATTGTATTCAGTGATGGAGCACCGTGTAGTCTGTCAATATTGTTACTATTTCCGGAATTGTGTAATACAGAAATGTGTGGACAAATGAAATACATTTTCATCGTAATGCCCTCACCCCTCTGTTTGTGATATGTTAACCTGATTCAGATTCATAACAACACTCAAAGCCCACTCGCATTTCGCCTTCAGACCGTATTCACTGAAATGTTGATGCTACAAGCGGTTCATTAATGTTGCTATGGTATCGATAACAGAATGAGGTAAATACATTCTCAGTGCTGTTGATCGGCGAAGCATTACGTTTCTGTACGTATAATCTCACTAGAAATGTTGATGAATAATATGAGATCGTTAATTAAATTAAACGTTGATGTTAGAAGCCAATTAAGAAAAAAATATTTATGCACGTTATTCTACTCATCCTATTAAATTTGTTGCTTACTTGAAAGGAATAAACAGAACTGTGGTATGCGATGTTCATGGGGCTTTATTATATAGGATGTCCCATAAAGATGTGTACACATATTCAATGAATGATATAAAGGAATTTGAATAAATTAAATTATTACATGCATCAGAATTGGCACTTAGTGAATTAACGAATTAGCTTCGTGGCACAGTTGACAGCGATAAGCAATTGAATGGCAGGCCACAGAAGTTTGCTGCTCTGTGTACACATTTTAGAGGATTTCCTTAAAAGAAATAACTTGTATTTTACGCATCAGCGTAGTTTAAGAAAGCCATGTGGACATGCATGGTCCTTCCGTCCGTCTGTCGCGTTCTTCAGCCGTCCTCTTGGTTAACTATATACAGTCGACGACTGTAATCTTGAGACTTGCAAGGAATGCAGGAAGTCCATAGCGTTAAAGGCAGACGCTATATTTCCTCAAGATCACAGTCGTAGACTGTATAAGTTCTGATGCTATGGGTAATTGTTAAATATATTGTGATAATTATTGTTTGACGTATAAATATTATGTATGCTTTTATCGTAACGTTTTTATGAATTATACTCAGTCATGAGGACACGTTTAAACTTGAATCCAAATGCCAATTCGTCTGGTTCACAGCTCGCTTTCATGACGCCTTAACTACCATGGCTTTTCAATAATTTGGAAGAAGATAATATTTTTCATGTAAGCGGACAACTGTTGAGAAGAGAAGGCTGTGGTTCTTACGCTAATAGAAGTTATTTTCCCACATTTCATTACATTACATTACCTTACCTTACATTACATTACATTCATCTACCATAGACCCATCTTAAGCGTAACTAATTTAAGTTAAATAAACAATGTCTTAATCAGACTTATCTCAATTGTAAAGGATGTATAAAGGAAATATTTATAACAAAACCAATAAATAAACTTCCTTTCCGTATAGACGTATTTACGTCTAATTCTCCGGAACCGTGGTTCCACTATCACCTTTTTTCACGACAATTTCATGCTGCTGAAACGTACACATTATCACCAGACACACGATTGATACCTCTCCTAAATACCAAAGATTGTATTCACAGAATGTAATAACAAACGAGAGGGATATAATGTCGTAATCAACACCGAAGACATGTATGGTGTAAAATAATTTCCTTCATTAAGTCTGATTTAGGTCACGCAGATATCGAACATGCTTCGTGAACTGTGACGTAAGATACGAGTTCACATGCTCAATCACAATTCACTGAACACCGCTCACAGAAAAAAGTATTATCGCTGAAACGAACAAATGAAGTCTGTGAAAATCGTAATGGCGACAGTGGAAGATCCATTCTTTCGGGAAGCTTTTTCATATCTACGTCTGAGAGATGTCGCTGAATGAAATTTGAAATAGTTTACTTATTTGATAACTGATATATAGAAAGACTATAATTTTATTCGAGTGAATGCAATGTAGAATAACTTCTACGTCAGTTTTTTCCTCCTAAGTGTTATAACCATTCAACATTTCTGATTTTATAAATTAATCGGAGTTCGAACACACATCCTGTGCTTAAGACTTACTTAACGCGCGTTAAAAATCAGAAGGTTGATTAAATCATGTTTATCCCAGAGGTCTACAATGATTAGACAAATGTTGACAGGAGGTAATTACAGTGAACGATAGTTAAAGCACAAGTTGTTACACAGACTCCTTTATTCATGAACAGACTATACCCTGCACTACAGTTTTCGTCTTACACCTCTTCATGAATAAGTAAGCCTCTTTCTATTTCAAATCTCTGTGGATGGCCGTGGGTACAATGATTGGGCCTGCACACTAGGCAAATCTTGCAATTCGTAATCTAGTCAAGCTAAATTATGTAAAGAACAATGCTAAGTGTATTTACATTTGGCAAAGTATTGTATGGTAAATCATATTGGTTGTTAATGTGCCTTTAATACAGGATCTGAAGTAAAATGAGACAGGTGTTATTTTAAATATTTTTTTAGCTATACTTAAATGGATCTGTCTATATATGTATGAGGCAGTTCAATCTCAAGGTGGGATGTAATTTACACAAAACTCAGGAGAAAGAGTTTCTTTATTCTGTATAGCGGTTAATTTTAAGCATCGATTCCCAAGTTACGTCTCGAAGAACGCTTTTACGGTCAGGTAAAGTCTATATACCAACCCATACAACGCAAAGTTAGACTTGCTGTGATTTGATTAATCTGTTTCTAGGTGACAGAAAGTCATTTATCATTTCTCCTTTGCTCATATTCAAGTTTACGCAACAGGGAAAACAGTTACAGATCTGTTTTCGGGTATTTCGCTGCATACAAAGAGAGACGGGGGGGAAAAGAAGTGGTATAAATTAAGTGCATTCATTTGTAATGTTTTCGGAAGAAGAAAGTGTCTCATACGTCTTGAATAACCTGCATGCCACATAATTCAATTCTTATTCATCTTAGAAAATTGTTCTATAAAATATATTTTTATAGGATATGATGCTAATGAAGGTAGCTGAATATCGTATCCAATTCTCCGTTTGGTATTAACAGCGTTTATCTATTCTGTGCTAAAAGGGAGTTAGATAGAATTAATACACTGTTTAACTAATTAGTCCCTAACATAGGCCATTTTAATTCTACCTACTTTCTTACGCTGTTTACTTAATATCCATTTTAAAAATGTTCTCACATCTTCACATAGATTTCCGAGTAATGCATTACTTTCAAGTTTTCCACCAATACTTTGTACACAATTCCCTCATCCTCACAACGCGTGCTACATGTCCTGTCCCTCTCATTCCTTATGACAAAAGTATTAAATTCAGCATGCAGTGTTGTTGAGAGACCGTCTCTGAGTACTCTAAAAGGCAACTACGTGTTATTTACGTTTAACTTGCTTCTTGGTGCTGGCACCATATAGAAACTAGTTCGTTGCCGACGTTTTAAAGGGCGATACGACAATTATCATTAGCTGTGATGATAGGGGTAGTATGGTCCTCTGAAACGTCGGAAATAACACGAATTTACGGTACCTACAAACATTTGCATCAACATAAACAATGTCAGTGATCGTCTTCTGGGTTGTTGTACCCGGAAGGCTGCTTCCAACGTCAGGGCGATTGGTCCTGATGTTGGAAGCATCAAGCGTATATGAAACGTGCGTAAATTTCTGCAAGACTTTAAGGCGCAGCAACCAAGAAGACAGAATTTTTTTATATTCGCCGCCCAGAGAACTTGAAATAAACGTCAATAATGATAATCGTGAATTCTTAGGTGTTGTTTGCAGAAGAGTCGGACGTAAACGTGGGCCCATGATTTCTGAACTTGTCCTTTTATGTTTGCAGAGTCGTTGCAAGGGCCCCATGAGAAGCGACTGCTGCACACGCTTCTGGATCATTACAACGTCCTGGAACGACCCGTAGCAAACGAGTCTGACCCTCTACAGCTCAGCTTCGGCCTCACACTTATGCAGATCATTGACGTGGTGAGTGTAGTCTGTCTCTGTGGTTATTTCTGAAAACCCTATAACCATGGCAACCAAGGTTTCACTTCTAAACCGCTGTCGCAGTGGTAATCACTAAAGCGTTGCTACATGTGTTATACAAGAGTATGTAGGACGTTGACTTCAAAAGGACTTCCCACTTTATGTTGCCATGGCAACCAAGGTTAAGAACTCAGATCGCTTTATTCATAATAACCAATAATAACTATGCATCTTGTGTAAAATTTGCAGATGTAGATCTCTAATTTCAGATCATCGGAAGTGGGGATCCTGTTAAATTCGTAAGTTTAAATTTAAAAATATCAGTTTCTGAATTTGGGACTTCGGTTTTAGTATTAGATTGACGAAAATATCCATAGCCAGGCTAACACTGTTAACATGAATGCTTCGTTTCTACCTGATTCTGTTTGTCGGGAAAGACTTTAGATATTTCCTCCTCAGCTAAGATCTGAGCCAGGGCAGTCTAAACCATCACGAGCTTAGTTTTACGCTATTAAAATTTCCATATCTCTCAGTACTTTGGTCCTGACTTCATCAACTTCTTCTGCGCTTCAGCGATTAGGAGTTTGTTGGTGCTTGGAACATGACCTGATCTGTGTTCCGGGTTTTCTCCGGGCTGCCATAATCACTCGAATCTCACTTGTTCTCAGATCAAACAAATCCATCAATCGAACACACCCGCATATATCTATATACATCCGCGAGTTATTGTGCAGTTTATTCGTCTATAACGATGATAAATTATAATAGTCTACTGTTTACGTAATACCGTTTTACGATTGATCGATCTTTTTGACATCGATCGATCGGCCTTAGACGTTACAGCCAGATCTGAATATTATTTAAACAGACTTTTTGTTTCCTGGACTTAGAAGGGGTTAAAGAACAGCTGATACCGTCTTAAACAAAAGTTGTTTAATGTTTATATTGTTTGTCTTTTCACATATTTGTTTAATTGTGTGCAGTTGATATCAGTTCGTTGTCTAACTACAACAAGGGTAAACACTGATAAATTAATTTTATTTTTAGCCATATATATTTACCTTTAATGACTTTCATACTACTGCATTATTAAAATAGATATTGTATACCACCAACCTTCCTTCAAATTCTTCAGCCTGTATGGTAAGACGAGCAAGAAGTGTAAATTACCAATTATATAATTTAGTGACCCATTTCTATGCATAATTTTTACTGGTTCAGATTTTGAACGTAAAAATTCCCACATATTACCTCATAATTTCGCTTAGTCGCCATATTTGTAGTTGTTAGAGTGTACAAACTTTCATACCGAATTTTGTATGTACGTATTTTCACACAGTCTGACGTGTATTTCTCAAATGGCTCTTTATTTGTCACCATAAAACTGAAAATTAAGTACAAATTTTGAGTAGCCCTTATGTTACTCTTTCTCACAGTGATGTTGGCACGATTATACCACAAGCCTGTTTCTGCGTACAAAATGAGGAATATAGCCTAATTAAAAATAACATTATAAGAGCAATATCATAATCCTTTTCTTATTTTAGTTACCGAATATTAAGAAAGTTGCTTAATCAAGCCTTGAAATTCATAAATTTTAAAAACCATGTAGATCTGTGAATCATAGTATCAGTGTGAATTACGCTAAATATATTTATATTTCGAGTTTGCCGTTTGATTTTAAATCTTCGATACATTTTAATATGTTTTATTCTTAATACACGTATGTGGGTCTAAAAAGCGAAGCTTTAATATTTAATATTCCCTTACATTTCAATCGGTTTTACTATAAATAATTTTAAATATATAACTTAATTTTATGGTAAGTGGTTTATCTGTGATATATAATAAATAGTCAGTCTTTACCCTATGAATCAACCAGAACTTGTAATTTAAAAAATAATACATGTAATTTATCTGTATAAACACTTCGTACGCTGAGAGTTATTAAAAATTGAGCCTGATTTTTATAGTCTAATATCCTTGACATGTAGAAAACTACAGCTGACAAACTTGACTGTCATACGTTGAAAAAATCATTGACACCGTCAAATTTAGTACCACTCAGGTCAGAAATGATGGAAATTTCTAAGGGACATAACTCATTTGGAGCATTGAGGATAAAAATAACGAAGCACTTGGTTTCTAATGTCATTGTTTGAACGAACCCATTAATGTGATGCAAATAATTCCTGTCTATTCGACTCTGATATAACATCAGTAATGTAAGCGAATGCTCTCTAAACCGGAAGTGACATCATATTGACTGCCAATACTAGGACAGACAGGTTTTACGCGCCTTCACTTGTCAAGTGACCTGACATCACCGATCAGGTGTCAGCGATTTGAAATTAATCCCACTCTACTGCTGATACTGGTCTTATCCGGTGATTATTATATCGAGATTGATTTTATTTTGGGCGTGCTGATAACTGATTTTAGAGCAGTTGTAAGTAACATGAGAAGATCTTTTGAAATTTATATATTTTCTATAGGTAAATGATGTCACTCGATGAAATTGTTAAAATGTAAAACATTGATTAGAAAATAAACTTACAAAACCAAATAGAAAATTAAAACTTTAGCATTAAACAGATGAAAGTATGAATCAGGGGGGAAATATTATAATATCATTGGAATTATATTTTAAAAAATAGTTTTACCTGTAATAATTCATGCACAACTTGAAAGTAGTCATCGTCAGGATACAGAAGAACATCATCATCTTCACCAACGTGAGATAATCGTATCTCATTTCAACGTATTACATTAAATAATTCACATAGACCACCTGATTTGCATTCACAGAGAAAATCTATTAAACATAACCGGAACGTGCCCTATGGCATTGAAACTGATAAATAGGATAGGGGAGGAACTCATTTCTAATTATCAGACAAATTTTTCTTGACAGCTGATTGTTACATATTCTGCGTAATTTAATCTATATAATGCTACGTAAGTGGTTTCAGCATTAAAAGAAGTGTAGCATATAAATATATGTATCACCTCCTATAACATTCAAACTGAATTTTGCCTCCAGAGTATATTTATGTGTTTTATTTTACGCTATGTATGAACAGCCATTATTTATCTTGTATCATCAAGCAAATGACCTTCGTAATGGAGACGTGTTGTGTTCTCTTTGAGGTGTGAACTAGATTTAATTACTATTTAGATGTACGTTGTGCTTCAAAGTGCTGAAATGTATAAATCCATTTTTTAATAATCTGATTCAGAAGTACAAAGTATTTTGTGTTAAGTGCAATAGTAAAAGGTAATTACAGCGACATTTTCAACTACCTGACTATGCCCACAGCACGAATTTTTCTTAAGAGAAATACGATGTAAATCCTGTAATCGTGTTTAATTTAGAAGAAACATGAGTTTCGAATAGTTAACAGATAAATGGTCTTCCTCTACAGGATGAAAAAAATCAAATCCTTACCACAAACGCTTGGTTAAATTTGGTAAGTTTTGTGCTGACTCAGGGTTATATTTGTACTGACGAGTCTAAAATATTCACATGAGACCAGTTCATTAGTTTTGTCGGTAGTAAATTATCAGAAAATTACACGTTTATCTTCAGAGCCATTGAGGGAGATGTGGACTGGTTTCCTGTGATAATTGGACTTACAGGCTTGCCACCATGATTATAAATCGACTCGGCTTCAAATATTAATACCTCAAAATTAAATTCATATAAATTTCATTAATGCAGATTCCGTGTTAGACATACCATGTAAGAATGTTCTGCAAATACGAGGAAGTTTAAAACATAAGAGTTTCTTAGTAGAGCTGCAATGAACATAAACTTGTTACCATAGTCAAAAGTTATAATTTGAAGAGGAGTCGTGTGTATTTAGTTCTAGAATCCATTAGTAAGTGTATTCTAGAACATTGCTTTTTTATGCTTAAATGTTTTCGGGAACTTTTGGTAAGGGAGGCGGACGACTTGGAAGTAATCTGGGTGGTGGAAGAGACAGGGCGTGGCTGTGTAGTCCGCCACCCTTCCCAGGATCTCACTACCCCAACCCCTTCGTGTGGTTTTGGTGTTTGCATTGTACCAGTTCACTAACAAATCACGTTTTCTTCTCATTGCATGTTAATAGGATGAGAAGAATCAGCTACTAATAACAAACATATGGTTAAAACTGGTAAGTCATACGAAGTGAAAAAAACATTTAAAATAAGAGGATAAAACAAGTTGACGGTATTGCAAACCATGAAAGGGAGAAATATTTCAATTAGTTTGCCGATTTAGAAATATAATATCATATAATTACTAGTTTACTGATTTAATTCAGTAATGTTCTTAGTTGTTATAGACATCTGAATAATATCAACTTGGTTTATCCTCAGTACCTAAATGATACTTTTAATATTGTTTATATTTATTAACTTAGTAAAAATTCACCTTTGTTTCGATTAATATGCATGGTAATGAATCACTGTTATCTGCATATATCAGGGTGTCCAATAAACTTACCTCCTCTTTCTATTATCGGTGGTTGTAATTGTTGTAGTGGCAAAGAAAGTGAAATTATTCAATGCATTTTTTTATTTTGCCCTAAGAAGTTACGATGCTTTTATGTATAATTTAGTATACGAGTCCGTTTTTACATATTTTTCTTAATAATGATAATTATCATGCATCGTCCGTTGTGTTCGCTTGTCATCCATTTGTAAGTGATAACGAAGAAAGTAGAATAAAGCTAAGGTAGACTTGCTTCTAGTCTATAAAATTAATTTTGTTCTTAGTAAAGTCGTAATTAGTAGAAGTTGTATAAACTTATTTGTATCTTGTGTATTCTACTTGTTTCATCTGAAATGAACCAGTAATTTACGACCGTGTTGATAAGTGAAATAGTTGGACAATTTTTTTGTGCATCGTGGTGTGTATTGCCACTTGTAGTTTGGAACAAAAATAAAATTGACACCTTTTGTCCCTTTTCGTGCAAATTCACCACATTAACCGGAAGCTGTCTCGATGTAGTTGTTTAAGGGTTTGATCTGTGGGGTATAACCCAGCATAACAACTGGATGTAGGATAATCGAGGCATAAAACTCTGACATATTTAGAAATATACTTACTCTAAAAATATTATTAAGAGCCGCCCTCTTCAGTTTCATACACAGATTTATATTTTACGCTTTAAATAAACTGTCTCCATTATATTAAGTAGTATTCTTTTGTATTTTTCCCCCTATGAAACGTGATCTTTCACCCTGAAGAGAGAATATAGTAGGTTGTCTGAGAATCTAGGTCCAAGGAGAATATTTGTACGGAAGATGGAGAAAATTATATAATTAGGAGCTTTGTAATTTATATTTTTATCAAGTATTTTTAAGGTGGTACTCATTATAGAGATGAGAGAAACATATAGCATTTTGTCGGAAAACCTAAATGAAAGAGATCACTCAGCATTCATGGTGTTACAGTATTATGGCGCATAATAAAATTCTCTAGTTCCAACAAATGCATCAGATGTTAAAAGAGAATAATATATTTTGATAGATTAACACTGCTTGTGGGGTTTTATTGAGTTTTGTCGCGTGGAATATGGAGGCGGTATGTATCTCCGAAACGTTGGTATGTATGCACGAGTCCAAAGGACATCATAATTCAGAACACTGTCATTATCATTTGGACCCAGTGCCTCTCAGAGGCGTTTCGTTTGGTTGCTAACACTTGAGGCAGTTATATATAAGTGTAATAAATATTGTTCATATTGATTGTTAAGGTTTAACCACAAATACGATATCAAAATAACAAAATTATAACAAATATTTACCAAATTCATTAAAAGTGTGTTATTTAAAAGGTTTTAATAATAATGATTTAAAAATAACAGAGATGCAGTTACTTTAATTTCCAGCAAATCTAAACTTCTCCGTGCACTTAGTTTGCTGTTAAAAGGTTGTGAACGTGCTTGGGCATGGAGAAGACAGTCGGATAGGAAATAAGACAAATCGATAAATTCTGCTATCGATTTTTCTGATTGCATGTAGATGCACGAAGAGTAATCATATATTATGTTGCTCTGTAGGATACTCTTATTTATGCTAGTTTTGTTATAGTAGTATAATTAGTAATAATTAGAAATCTTTCGTGTTAATAATTGTTTTGTAAAGTAAATTTTGCATGTATATCATTATATATACAGAGTAATTATTGATTACATGCAGTTAATATAATTATTGTGATCTACTCCTAAAATCAAACAATGCAGTCCCTACAAGAATATTGTCACAACCTCTTCATTGCCGAGATATAGCAATATTGCCCAGCCACGAGATTCTCTTCTGACATAAATTTTCACACTCGTCGCTGTAAAAACCTCAAATCCTACAAATTAAGTTTAATTAAAAAGTAAGACACTATATAAGATTTGAGATTTTCACAGCGGTGAGTATGAAGATTTCTGTCTTCTGGGTTGTTGCGCCGTGTAGTCTGGTCGATGCCAATTGGCACATTCATCGCCCTGATGACGGAGGCAGTATGACCTCTGAAACTTTAGTAAACATCGACCAGACTACACAACGCAACAACCCAGAAGACAGAAATCTTAAGACACTATAAATAATAGGTCTAACTTGTTGCCTATATTTCGAAATTTTCTTGCCATGAAGTTATATATTTAATTAATATTTTCGTCGTAGTCTAATAACATTAGATAAAATTGATTTCTGAAATTTATTCCTGAATTTACGTCCAGTGGTTTATATACAATGGCAGGAATTATTATAGCCTTATTGGAATGTACTGTATGTCATAGTTATAGGCCCCCAGAGGTGTTAACTGAATTCTGAAGCACTCTTTCGTGGCGTTTTCGCCGTTAAAGGTTCGATTGATTTTGTTTTGATTTTTAATCTGTATTTTCATCGCTTTTAATGCTGATTGCTTCTCAGGAATGGAACGATGTAAATTTACGGTGGAACTCCTCGGAGTACGGTGGAGTCAAGGATCTAAGAATACCTCCACATCGGATATGGAAGCCCGACGTACTCATGTATAACAGGTATGTCAGAAAGAATAATAACTTTATATTGTGACTTAAGTCAACTTGTACGTTCAGGCTCATTTAGTGTCATTTATGGGAGTGTTAAGTAAATGCAAGTTTATAAAAATTGCTTCCGTTTGCCATATACGTTCCCAGATGCAAGGTGATATTTTTGGTACGAAATTAATGTCAGTTTAGACATTTGAATCGTTTATCCACTTTGCATTTGTCTTCGTATAATTTTATAAAATATCACGAGATAATTTTGAAATGTACAAACCCTTCAACACATGTTTTGTTTCAGAAGTTTGATATTACTAATCTTTTTGTCGATGGAATCACTCAGATCACAAATGTAATGAGAAATAAATGTAAAAATATGTCGATTGCGGTTTCCTGACTAGTGATGCATTATACACTTGTGAGTAATTATCGGATTTGCATAGAAACGATTTTTGTATGTTTTGCACCAAAGATGAAGGCGACATGTTCTACCGAAGCTTTGGTACACTGCGCCTTGTCGAAACCCGAATCTTATCCGGCGTAAAAACTAATATTTTCACATGGATTGAGGATATTTCCGAACGTAGTGCTTAGGCGAAAATATGAAATTCAGAGGGATAAATAATAGGACCGAAATGTTAGAATTATGTAATCAAAGAGTGTTTGATGGGGTATGTAGCACGCATGGCAGACAGAAAATTGTATTTATGTTGATAAGCATAAGGACCGGTGGCTGGCTCTTGTAAACACGGTAATAAACCTTCGGATTCAGTAAAAGGCGGTAATTTAATGACTGTCTAACGACTACAACTCTCATTAGAATTATTCTCCATTGAGTTATTATTATTATTATTCTTGTGTTTTTGTTATAATTGCATGTAGCAGAGTCCTGGAGAGGCTAATAAATCAGTCAACTAGTCAACAAATTTTCCTCCTGTTGTGCAATCTATAAACGCGATTTTAGAATACTGCTGTTGGTCTCCATCCTAATCCACATGAATCCAATCAAAATCGTGCCATACATTTTTCTGAAAATATATTTAAATATTATCCTTTATTTAACTTGATTATACGTGTTTTGTTACTCATAAAAGGGCCCCCAGAACTACAATTACTACCAATAATAATAATGATAAGCCTAATAAAAATATAGTATATTGCTCAAGTTTTTAATTTTGAACATTGGAATTTGCAATAATTCGTTAAACTACACTGAATAAAATCATGATTCTCCAGTAGAGTACAAACAAAACCATATTTTGACATAATTTTATCACATCTTTGTAATGATGTAATTAGTATTGGAATATGTTATAACAAGGCGTGGCTTTATAATATAGCTACATACCGCTTATATTTTGAATGCCTATAAAATCTCAGAGCAATTTTATCATGTCCAAGGGTGGCCTCGTTCGTAACTTGGCAGATCACACAAAGGCTTCCTACATCTTCCCTTTATGTTTACCCTGTAACTGAAATGATCTAGTTACGTATGGAAATGGAATTAACAAGCTAGATTTTATAGAGAAGGAGTGAATTGGATAAGAGAGGTTTCAGAACATCAATATAATACACCCACATCCAGGAGAGAGTGAATTCCTTGAAAAAGTCCAGCCACAAAGGAATACATTTAAGGAATTTGAAACCAAGGGATGGCTACAAATTACAAAGTAGTCAGAAGCACACATCTCTTAATATAATTCAGCAAACTGGGGTTTATCCATTCAACATAATCTTAGTGAATAATTTGTTTTTACTTACTTAACGAAAATTTGTCAACTGCGTTTACTTTAACATAGTGGCAGAATTTAAAGTATTTTGCATAGGCAACTGGCATATTCCTTTTAAAAATGATAAACAGTTACAGTTTCGAGAAATATTAAAATAGGTACGGGTTAATTTATTATAAATTTGAATCAACAGATCCGACAAGTTATGACATTGGTTTATGGTAGGAATGTCGAACAAGACAGAGTACGTTAATGTTGATCTTCTGGGTTGCATTTCATTGTGTATTTGTAGGTAAGACAGCAACGCTTCGGAAGAACGTACTGCCTCCACCATCAGAGCATCGACCCCCTCCGCTACCTTGAGAACGCGAGATCTCATTATTACAGAACACATTCTTTATTGTTAAAAGTATACGTATTCTGTGTGTTTGGTCTTTTCATATAGGTCCATTTCTGTTCAAATCCAACTAAGAATATGCTCGTACACTTGTAGGACGACGCATAAAATCCGAAATATTGGCGTGACAGTCGTTTTAAATAACAAAGCCCCATAACTAGTTGGTTAAGTCAGGTGACGTTGGCGGCCATCTGGGATCGAAACGTCACCAAGCGAAATATCCATTTCGTTGTTGACATAAACGTACGTGCGTTATAATCAAGTGGCTACAGGAGTGATTCCATCACAATTTCATAATAGAATATGTCTGTCTTATGGATTGTAACGCCTCCATCATCAGGACGATTAGTAAAGATCGCTCTGATGATGGAAGCAGCAAGGATCTCTGAAACGTCGGTAAACTTCAACCAGACTAGATGGCCATCATTGTAATTACCGCAGTGAATACCTCAAATCCTGTGTAATAGAATTTTAGGCATTTTGAATTATTGGCTGATGTTTTTCTATGTACCCTAATGTTTAGTATGCAATTGGATGCATCTTGAACAATAATGAATGTTAGATATTACAAGCATATTCATGCTAAGCCATATTATTGCAAAGTAGCCTGGTCAGGAGCTAATATTCAACAAAATGTAATGAAATGTGGGGTAGATGATTCCAGTTCTTCGTATGTCAAAGCCAGCATCACATTTTATGTGTTACGTATTTCTTGCATCTCGCAAATATTACGAGATTTCACATTCCCGAGAATTATTTCCGAGACCCATTTCACTGAAACTGTGTTTTATAAAGACAGATAGCATGTGGATTTTGGTCTTCTAGGTAGTTACGAACGTTTGGGGCGACGCTGCTAATCACGTACAAAATTGCACGGCTTCACAACTCAGATGACCACAATCCACATTTTCACCGCCATGAAAATCTCGAATCTGGATTTATAGAAATTTAGACTGTGTATAGAATTGTACAAACTTTCATGTAATATGCAGGATTCGAATTCTTAACGCTTCGAGCCAAAGCAGCAAGTCACACGCGCTGGTTTCAAGGCATTGAAATGTAAACGATTGCATACATTTATTAAATTATTTAATAATACTTTCGTTTCACTGAAAGTCTTGAAAACGGAGATTTCCAATTCTTCCTTCTAGCTTTAAATAATTTTACGTTTTAAATGTCTCTTTGTTTTTCACAACTCTTCTGCGTCCATATGACATGACATTTTGGCTTACCAATTGTTCTAAAGTTAGAAATAAATTAATGAAATTGTTGTAAATTTTGATAAAATGGTTAAAAATAGTTAGACTAGCTCTTCTTAGGTAATTGTCTATTGATGCATATGAGCAGCGAAACACAGTTTTTCGGACTCCAAACCTGGCTTCATTATCAAGGCTTTGATTTAATTGCACAGTTTCAACCACAAGCGTCAGGGCATTTGCAACTACAGAATGACACGTGGCTGAATCAATTACAGTTTGCAATGGATTTTAAATTTAAAAAATGTGATGCAAGCTTTTTTTGCCTCTTTAGAGTACAGTGGTAACTATGTACAGCCTGCTTCAACATTTAGTATCTCTACCTTTCGCCCATTATATATGGGTTTCATACGATGGAATAAACAGAGATTATTTTCTTAAACAACATTAACCAGTTTATCCTGCTTTTTATTTGGATGAATTTAACGCTTCAAAGAGTGAACAAAATATTACTGAAAATTTTCTACGTTGTTTTAGGTTTGAAATTTTGCAAAAAAATATTACTGATAATGAAGATCATATCAAAAGGAGAAAGAGAGATATTTTGAATTCATAATTTTAATTTATACCTCTGCTAATTGTCGTAATGCCGAAAATTTACAGTTTAGTTGGTTGTTGGTAAAAGTATTTTTATTTAATACATCCAAGCACTTAGGTTGCAGATACGTGTTTAATTTTCGAGTTTTATAAAATATTTTTCGTGAAGGTAACCGTTACAAATATATGAGAGAGCTTGGTGATGTCTGTTTTAAATAAATGGTGGTATTTTTATGATTTATTTTATTTAACGGCACGTTTCAGTAGCTTTGACTGTAAATCTGAATTAAATTAACATTTATCGTCCCTTTCTGTAATACAGACTTCTAACATGAATGTCGTATTTAAATATCAGTTTTAATTTGTTTCAAAGAGGTGATAATGCGTACGATAAATTATTTTTCTAGTCTTTGATCAAGTTTGGTATTTACTGTGAGAACGCGTTTATAGATAGATAAAAATCTGTTTTAATTGTACAAACAACAAACGTTTCATGCAAGAATTTGACATCTGGAAATCTAGAAAATTAAATATGTTGCTGGAGCCTGTTGCCATAATGGAAGTTCAGTAGGAACATCCAATGCGTAAAGTTTCTTTCTTTCTCCTTTACATGTCTTTGTTGTCTTTCTTCAAAGAACGATTCTTTTCAGTCAATTGTAACAATGTCTGAAACTTCCGAGAATCATGTAATGTGATAAGTTTGGTCGCATGCCTTGTCCATGTCGTACTATAGTTTTGTAAGATACTTTATAACCGAAGGAATCTTTTCAAGATATTTGGATAACTTAAAATTGTTTTGCAGTTATGACGAATTTGAAGTTTGTTGCATGATTTTAAAACATTTAAACTAATTTGGCGAGTTAAACATTGATATAAACCCAATTTATGTTTACATATTGTTCAAAATTATTTTCCCTGTTATTAATACAAATATTTTGCAAAGAATCGTTTTATTCGTTTTGAAATAACGTATAGAACACAGGTCAGCAACAATGGACATCTGGAGTTTTTCCTCGAGTCGTATGATTGTATCCAACTGGAATCCTGGTATGTAAAAGTTGATTATTCCCCATTACTGAAATATACATTCATCACCATTTCAGAAATTTGGATCAAAACCTAGTGGCAGTTGGATGATACTATCGTAACTTCTATAATGAAAACTTAATCACATCTTAAAAATCAAATAGTCTAATTATAACAATAATTAATAATATATATATAATTTATATTATTACCCATTTTTTTAAACACACGTTAACTTTTTTTGTGTATTTTCATAATTTTTAAGAATGGACGTATTTCATTGGTTATTTTCACGTGGGGAATCTTCATTTATTGTAAGACTCATAAAATAAAATTCCTCTAATATTAAATAACGAAGCGTATTGTATCACTAAGTAATCGTTTCCATTCTTATTACTGCTTTTTATAATAAATTTGAGAAATCTGCTTTCAGGACACATTAAGGTAATTTTTAAGCGATTTAAAAACTAATACATCTCTTTGTAATATAAATATTTAACATGTCTTTTTCAAGATCACCTGTGTAAATATTTCGCAGGGTTGGCAAGCGTATGGAACACCGACCAGTCCAGTGGCTATGGCTTGGTGGTTGCAGCGACGCCCTCTTGAGACGATGTCATGAGATGGGATTCCTTGGAAACGCATTTTTTTATATAAAACGTCTTAAAATTTTGTCTTGATGCTCAGATGCTGACACCAACTTTAAATTCTCTTATTCATGCGCATATAATACATCCATTTTAACTCTGATATTTTATATATATTACGTACGATATTAAGGAAACGTTTCGAAATCTTACATAGACAGTGTTTTTATTTTATTATTATTTTTTTGTCACAGTTTGTGATGGGTTCGATACTAATTAATATATCACTTTACCAGAATTTCAAGGAGGATAAATGATTCTATATCACGTAAAAAATAAATACCATTAAAACTATTATCAAATTATTGGCGTATGTCTTAATGTATGTATATATTCTAAACCTTTTCTTTTAAACGTATTTAGATATCTTTCTTGAAAGAAACAGGATATTGTGGCATGTCGCAAATTTAAACCATATTCATCATATTAATTTTCTGCTATCCTTTCTTCGTTTTCTTTCTCACCTTTATTAAACATATAAAACGCCAAAAAGAAAGATTAAACCGCAGAAATTTTTGATACAGAAAAAATTCACTTAGTTTTGAACTGTCTGTGCGTAATAACTAAAAAAAATCCTCAGTAAGGTAATTTTAATTTTAAAAATGAATCAAAAGGGGAATCTAAATGAAGCTGCTAGCTCTGAATTTTATGACACTGTGCCCGGTGACAAGTACGACTACCAGATGCCGTTGTTGTTGGGCCACCGTGTATTAATTCCTTCGACTTGGTAGAGGACACATTGCCTGGGGCAATGTGTCTTTTCCTAGGTCGATTTCACCAGTGATTGTCCCACAAAATCACATAAACTCAATGATGACTACTGCTCCTGCTAACAACACCTATTTTAAAATCGAATCTGAAATAAGTTTTTAGTTTTATTTCCAAAATTCTTCCTTAATCGGACATTTTAACGAATTTCTTATACTAATACACTCGCCAAATCATAATAACTTTTAAAATTACAAGTATTATTTTAAACGAATTACTTTTGAAGTTTAAAAAAAATAATTGTGCATGTATATTATTTTTATTTCAACACAAATCTGATTTTTTTTTACACACTTTAAAAGAATTTGACGGTTTATTTAATGTGCACTAATTCTATACTTCTGCCAGTAACGAGTTCTTTCTTTCAACTTTTCCCCGCTACAAGTGCTGATGAGGGTTTCGACGGGACGTATCCGACAAACGTTGTGGTCAGAAATAACGGTAGCTGCTTGTACGTTCCACCGGGCATCTTCAAGAGCACATGCAAGATAGACATTACGTGGTTCCCCTTTGATGATCAGCGCTGTGAGATGAAGTTTGGTAGCTGGACCTATGATGGCTTTCAGGTACATCTGTATGTGAAGTCCTGATAAGTTTGAATAGACTTCTGAGGACGATGGCTTAGCGAAAGAAAGGAATACTTCAAATTCTAGTCTCTCTTGGTACATCAACTGCTTACAACCCCGCAGATATTAACGGTTCTAATTTGAATATCTAGATATCCCGTATTATTATTATTTATTGGATACGTTTTGGGTGGGGTTTAAGTCTCGGAGTGAAAGTAAATTTTCGTCTCATCGTCGTCTCAAAACTGATTCTACGGTCCTCCAAGAATATCCAATTCGTTCACGAGGCTATTTCTCTGGGAAGTAAAGCAGTTCATTGCGTGGTTTACCAATCACCTTCATATACGCAAAAGTTAAGATTTCACGGAGCTCTCTCTCAATTCGCACACACCACCTCACATTGTAGTGCTAAGCAATTTTTTTTATTATATATATTTCACTGTTAAAAATTGTCTAGGGTGAACAACCATTTCAATATTGAGTTAGAAACAAACGTTTTAGAAATTCACCCTGCCCCTGTTGGAGACAGGGTGTCTCCGAGACACTGATATTTAACTCAGTACTGATATGGTTGCTCGCCCAACAGAATTTCATAAAGTTCAAATCTTTGTACTTATTTTTCAGTGTTCTGTCCACATTTTATAATTCACTACAGAATTTTTGCTGTTCCAAGGACGACCGCGCTTTTTAATGTATCCATTGAGAACCCTGAGGATTTCAAATGAAATTTTTCGGAGTCTGTCATTAATGTTTTTATATTATTATTGTCATTCTTATTATAATCTTAACCGCCATCATCATTGGTCATTGATGCAACAGTGAATGATTAGGTCTATTCACCTAATATTGATAGAATTTTACTGCAGGATCGAAAAAATATTGTTCAAGAAAATCTCAAGACGTCGTTGTAATAAAATATATGTTCTCTAGCACTCATTTTTGTTGAATTGGTTGTAATAGAGACGTTTGTATTAAAATTTGATTAACGGTATTTATTATATTAGTTGTAACACGAAATATGTAGTTTACACGAACATGCCAAACCAAAACTTTAAATGTTTAATATTCTCTTCCTTAAGTTTTAACTTACTATCTGTGAAACTTTTAACTGAAAGCAGAAGAGAGCACCTAATTCTTGAAGTATTCCATTACCACTCTCACAAAATAAAACATTTGCAATTTTTATAATCCCCCCTCCCTCTTCTATTTGTCGACTCCAGCTGAACGTCTCTGCTGGCCACATGCGTTTACGTTTTACAGTTAACACCAGGTTTATTTACTGAATATAATGCGTGACTATGCCACTATAGTATCATTTCTTTAATTATACATTTACCTATGAACTGTTGTTGAATTTAAGACGAAGTGAAAATTCTGACGTCTTCAGCCTATTTTGTCAGAAGGGTTATCAAGTATTAATGCACCAACATTTATCTTTAGTTCTTATTATGTGGTTAGAAAATTTAGTGATAACTTTAACGAATTACCTTATCAACTATATGACGACATACCGAAACCGAAATGTAGTATTAACAAATGAGTGACGTAGCCTTCATCACTGTTTGATGATGGCATTGTCTGGCTTTGTGACTTATTTGTGACGTGTTACATTACAGTTGGACCTACAGTTACAGGATGATAGTGGAGGAGACATCAGTAGCTTCATTACAAACGGTGAATGGGACCTTTTAGGTAGGTACTGTTCCATAATGATGGCTAGAATTAATTTTATTGCATGAACCCCGCAGGTTACATGGTGTATTTGTATGTTAAAATTGTTACAAAACATGTCAGAACATCAAGTAGTTCTTTTTAATTAGTAACCGAGCCTGTAAATATGTAAAAGAGATTAATGGGTCAGGTGTTGTTTTCTGATTTTGGCGTAACTGAGATGTTCGGTTGGGTACATACGCCATCGCGGAAGATTCCCCCATGTGACTAGGCGTTTGGATGGGAATTATCAACGCGGATATTCCACGAGTGGGGATCCCCCATGCGCAAACTCATAAAGGTTTTCATATAAAATGTCCGTTTTCCGATTACGACAAAAATTGAAAAGTGGCCAAGATTAGGTAAATGTGTGCGAATCAAAATATGCCTTTTGATCTGTTTTTCGTAGTAGTTATCCATAACAGAGTATTCGGTGTTCGGTTGTATTCCATTTTGTCGTAAAACTACAATTAAATACGAATTGTATTTTATTAGTATTGACAGTATAATCTAATATTAACGCAAGTTTTATGTTATGTTTACATATTTTAAAATGTAAGCGGAAATTTGAGCAGAGTTTTCATAGGCATATCTGGAAATTATTAATGAGATACGATCCTTCCTTCCTGTTTCTCAAATTAGAGCGACGTAATTAAAAAAAATTTAATTTGAAAAATTACTGCATGAAATTTGAAGATGTTGATGTTATTGTGAGTATTGATTTGTTAGTGAAGCTAGTAATTGTATTTTCGTGTTAAGTTAATAATAACCTATTTTGAGTGTATTCTTTTCTAAAGTATAAATGTATTGATCATTTGTTGTTAGTGGGAGTAAATTTATTTTCTCTGTAAATATACTACATTGTTAATAAGAAAATGTCTATGCATGCGTAAATTTCGCTTTGGCCATTCAACTCTTATCATATTTTGGGCTCGGTTCTTAACACGAAACATTGGCAATCAAGATACAGATTATAGGTTCTTATACCAAAATAGTTAAGGGTGGATATCTTGAATTTAAGTTGGACTATTTCTGAACTATGGTGGCTGAATCTTGCTATTAACTAAAAATATGGAATGAATTATAAATTTAGCATATTTTAAAACTTTATTTCAGAAACATTTATGTGCTAGATCTCATTGAATTGATACTGTATTTTGTGAATTCATATAAAATCGGATTTAACTTCTAGCTTTGAAATTTTGCAACAAAACACTGTAATTCTTTTGTTTCGAGCTATGATGAAACAGCTGTGCTATCATACGAACAGAATTGTGCCGATTGGGCAAGCGACATCTGCGAATTTACGCATCAATTTGAGAAGTACGTTTGTTTCTACTGTATTGATTCATTGAGTTTATTTTATTAAAAATATTTACAGTCTTTCTGTATTTGGTTATATTTAAAACTCTTATAGGTTACTATATTTTCAGGAAGGATACAGTAGAAATTATATAATTTAATGTTAAAGATCAGAAACTAGTAACAACAATGTTTTTTTAATTTATGACTACATATCTTTGCTGAATCTGATTCTTAATCAAATGGTGGGGAAGAGCTCGTTGTAACCTAACATACGGCAGTGCACATCATACAAGTAAGTAAATCTTTCTTTGTTACTAAATTCAAGTGTTCGGCTGTCTGGCTGTAGGAAATAGCGAACTTTTTATACGAACGGGCAACTCTTGGTTTGAGGAAAGCCCTGTGGGCGCAGCACCTGTACGGTGGTTTAGTTAACGAGAGTCAATGGAAGGCAGATCTAAAACAATATGGCGTCGGTGACGCAGTCGCGTGCTTGTCTTGTGTAGGATCGAGTCGAAAGCAACCCTTTTAGGTAAATTGGTGGTCCCATCCAAGCATTTCATGGTACGCGGTCCAGACTTTACCCACCACCAAACCCCATGCTATCCCTTCTTCTATTCTTTCTGTAGTTTTAAATTATGGCCATGACAATATGAACTTGAACTCTCAAAATGGCTTTCCTAAAACCACATATAAATAAAGATCAAGATTGGGGCAAAGAAATAAGAATTGGTTGATTTGCCTCTATTCTTTGTGACAACTACATCTTCTGCTTAATTAAACAACGCAATTAAATAAAGATCTGAATAAACATGAACCTCTTAAATCAGTTGATTGGAATTGGAAAAGGCTAACATATGAAGTTATACGTTAAAACATTTTGTTTTCAGTTTCTTTGAACTGGACTTTTCTTCCTTGATGACTTCCGTCTCTTTTCCTGTCCTCTTTCTTTCTTTATTTCTTCATTCCAGGTGTTCCCGGGAAACGGAACGAAATTTATTACAACTGCTGTCCCGAACCATATATAGATATAACTTTTATCATTATCATTCGCCGCCGGACACTGTACTATTTCTTCAACCTTATAGTTCCATGTGTACTCATCGCCTCGATGGCTGTTCTGGGCTTTACACTGCCACCGGATTCAGGCGAAAAGCTATCTTTAGGTAATATTTCTAGTTTAGGAATTCTCTTACGTATTAATCCTCCTTCAGCCACTCTGTTTTGTTTAAAGGTTGGCTTCTTTTTCTCTTACCTATGATTTCTCAAAGTTTTTTATATTCTATTCCCCCCTTCTCCCTTTTTTGTGATATATTTCAGGCATGCCTGGAGAAAAGAACGTAAAAGAATATGCTTGCTGTCCAGAGCCCTACGTAGACATTACTTTCGCCGTGCATATTCGGCGACGGACTCTATTTTACACGGTGAATTTGATCGTTCCTTGCGTTATGATCTCATCTATGACACTCCTTGGGTTCACTTTACCACACGAGTGTGGAGAGAAACTGACATTAGGTACAGTAAAGTTCTGTTAGGAACTTCCTTGTGTCTTGCATTCCTTTGTAACTGTGTTAGCCTGACTGGTCGCGGTGTTACAGCGGCTTCACGTTTCCATTCTGGTATTTGTCGCCATGTTCTACCAGAATACTACTGCTGACACACTGGAAGTTCCTCAGAATATGTCATTTTATTAGTGCGGTTATGTTTCTGTTCAATTGCATTGCCTGGATTTAGGACAGCACTTAAGTTCGCATTATTTTTGTTTAATATGTTTTTATTGCTTTTTTGTTTTGGTTAATTAAGCCCTTGTCCCCTGTTCCCTGGCTTGCTGTGCATGTAATTATGGTTGTACTATTGTGGTATGTTGTCCGAGTCAATTAGTTCTTATCCACAGTGTTGCAGACGTCGGTTATCAGCTGACATCTAGTTTGTTGATGTGATGATTTTACATTTCCCGTTGCTTATCTTATGAAGACGTGAAATGATTGTCTCACAAATATGTCCTTCTTTTCCAGCTGAAATGATTGAATTAGTATTCCATTTGATGATATTTCCTTTTTTTTCCTGTATCTTTGTTCGTTTCTGCCCACTTTAGGGCCACGAGCTTCAAAGGTAATGTGATTAATTTTTTTCATTCCTAATAAATAACTATACGACAAATAACGCATTTAAACTCTATATTTAATTATAATTTATGATAACGTTTAAAATAACTTTGTCACTTATATTTATATGCGATGTTAAATGCTTAAACCGATGTAATTAAAGTTACGTTATGTTCCGGTGCTAGCCAGACAACAGAACTGACGCATCCTTGAAGAATTACTAAAACTAATAACTTATTTGATAAACTTGGCCACATGACAGGTGTTGGAAACATCTTACAATTATTATACTAAATATAAACACGTTCTACTTCAGTAAATGTTGAATCAACGATGAGATGCCGAACGAATTAATCACCGCTTCAGTAAATTGGAAACAACAGTTTATTAGGGACTAATTAAAGAATATCAATTATTGATTACTGATAATAATTAACTCTGTATGCCAACTTAATAACTTACAAGGTTTTCAGGTACATAGTCTGTGTGCACCGCGTAAAACAGCGATTCTCGCTGTCTAATGGCCCGTAACTGAGATGGAGTCACTCAGTGCACACAAACTATCTTTTTTAACAATTTTTGTTCGACATATACCGCTTTGTGCCTACTGGCCTTGGAGCGTGTCCACATAGGCGACATCCAACTTGAGCTATTTCTCCTGACAGAAAAGATGATCGGTTAATTTCAAGTCATTAAAATGATGCTGTACGAAGTTTTGTCAAACTTTCGGTCATATGTCTCAAGTTGGATGAATATTTTAATGAGAAAACTCAGGGTGGGGATGCGGCAATTCGAAATTATTTATGAAGCTCTGTCTGCGCTCATGAATTCTACTTAGAACTTTCAATGGGCGTAAATAAAAATTCTAATATATTTCTAAAGTTTCCATACTATTTTCTGGTAATTAAACATTTCCAAAAAAAAAGTTTAAATGAAAAGAATTGAGTTGACTTGTTGGCATTATTTGATGATTTGTTTTGAGTACGTTTTGCCAAAATGGAATTCATTCGTATATTTGAAATTAATTGTGAGTCAAAAATTAACAGAAACATATGTATGGTAAACGACATATTTTCCCACTACAGTCGTCAAAGTAGCTTTACGTCACCGAAAAAATGAGCAGACATCAGAATAATTTAATGGATAAATAATGCATTTAAATAAAATTTAATGTTTTTGATATCGAATAGTCGCTTCTCCACCTAACCATCGACTCACAGACCCAACACATACAGCATTTTACTTTATGAGCGAGTCCCTTTAATTTCATCTTTCTCCTTCCAGGTGTCACAATTCTTCTCTCTCTGACTGTATTCCTAAACATGGTGGCGGAGACGATGCCTGCTACATCTGATGCCGTCCCTTTATTAGGTAAACGTGTGTGACAAGACACACAACCAGATTGTTTGTGCTTGGGAGACAGAGGGGGTTTCTTTCCGAGTGCATCACCCCACCAACGGGCCTCCACTCTCGCTTCTTCGTCTCTCACGCAACACGTGTTTGGAGTACAGTCAGTTAAGAAAAAAGACAGAAAAAACAAACAAAAGAAAGGATTCGAATTATTCAGAATCTAATTTGAATCAGGTCATTGTTTTGGATCGTAGGAGAAAAAAAGAAATACGATTTACACTTTCATAGAAGAAAAGTTAAAAATCTGACATTGAAATCCATCCCACTTCCATACACCGACTTGTCCACTCACTGTTTTAGCCACTTTAGAAATTTTGCTGTTTCTTCTCCCTGCTTCAACTTTTGTGCCTTCACCATCGCTGATTGTACTGTTACTATTTCTGTCACTCTTCTTGCAAGCTGTCTACTCTTGTTCTAGCAATGTACTTTAATTTCTCGTCCTGTGCATGTCACTTTTCATCACTTTACATTTCACAATGCCTTTTCAGGAAGGAGGTTTCTTTGTCTTACAAATACGTCTTCTTCGAAAGTAATATATAATCTAATCAATATTTGTTTATTTATGTAGGTGAAGTCGATATGTAATACTAAAGAAAATAATATTTTTTTGAAGGAATTTGGATTCTTTCAGATTCACTTTACCCCTGTTTTCTATCGCGTCAGTCTAAACAATCCACGCCTCAACACCATCTGTGAGATGCTGGTTTCATCCCAAACCCAAAACCCTTCCTATTAACAAAGCATTTTATTTATTGCGACTCGAGTCCTCCGTTTGCATTCATTAATACACACACATTCCTTAATTAATAATTTAAGAGATGAAACAACTTCTCTTACTTTAAAGTAATGGAGACACGTTTAATTACAAACTTGGAAAAATTATTATAGATCGCGTTTATTTATAAAGTTAATAATACTAAACAAAATGTCTGGTTTCCGTCTACTATTTAAAAGATGAATTCGTTACAATCTCGTGACTCGCAATAAACATTTAGGTTCATATTCTCATACCTTAGTCATTCATAATAAAATTGCGTTAATGTAATAATATTGGTTGGCAATTAATATTTAATAAGTAATTAATGCGTGTCCAACATAATAAAATTGTAACACGTTTGTCGATTAACACATTCATAACAAATCTCACATTATTATATAACCCAATAATCAAATATATATTTCCTACTTGACTCAAAATTTTGGTAGCTCCATAAAAATTGTTTGTATCCATGTGAAATGTTTCACTGTGTTTTTTTTTTTTGTTAACACCGCGTGCTTTAATTTGTGTTCCCAGCACCCTTAAGTTTATCCCGTTGTCACATGAAATAATGAATTTAGTGTTGTTTTTCCTCGATAAATTGCTTGTACCCAATGACCTCAGTTGTGGATAAAAATATCTAATAGTAATGCTTGTTTCTTCTTGCAGCTAGTAGACGCTATCGTAAGAAATATTATCGTAGGAGCACAAATACCGAGCATGAATGCAGGCACAGAGTGATCTTCAATTCGATTCGTAGAGGCAGAAAGGTAGTTCGCATCACCAGTGTAATACTAGTGCCATCTGTTGAATCGACTGTGAAACTGTCCGTTTCATGTCACATCGGTAGACGCTGCTCAGGAAATACGTCATTCTGCATTCGCCGATCAAGAACTCAATTTCCTGTCAGTGTTGCATGACGTGTTTCCTGAGCGTTGTCAACTAGTGAGAGACAAACGAAAAACTAGTACAATGCTGGTACAGTGAAGACTCTTTTCTGACCTGTTGTAGTATGTTTTCATGTGTGTCACAGTGCCTACAAAATTGCAGTCCGTCATGAAGTTGATTGATTTCACTGTCAGCACTTTTTTTTCCCCCACAGATGTCACCGTTCTTCTTTCGTTAACGTTTTTCCTAAACATGGTAGCCGAAACTATGCCTCCAACATCTGAAAGACCCCTAATAGGTAAAGAAAATAGTCCCTCGTTAATATTACAAATTTGCTACTTGGACTGCAGAGGGATGTGGATTATTAAACACTGGTTTCCTGGCACAGGCGATCGCATAATTGAAAATTAATAATAAAAAATATTTTTCCATATGAACCAGTCCCTCCCTTTAATGTAACAAACATGTAAACAGGATTACCAATTTCTTTTACAGAAATGAAACCTTTCGTCTGTTGAATGTCCTTGATATGGCCCATATGGTTGTCTAGATACTTTGTATAGAGTCATTTGTACAGATTCAAGTATCTGGCAGTCACTGTTTGTCTTTTGTCCCACTAGATGGAACTGTCACACTTTTGTGCGAAGATATGCTTTGAGGAAACTTTTTTAACTTAGGATAAAATGAGTAAAGAAATGTCAATTCGTGTTGTATTCTTGGTGTTTTCTGTGTTACGTTAAAAGTGTGTGAATTTGTTTAGTTTCATGTTTAAATGTTGAATGTTTTTAAAGTTAAACCCAGACCCTTATTTACTGACGTTAACTTACACTCTTGGCGTGTCAGAATCGAACCAAACGTACAGAAATAAGTAATTGTTCATGCGATTCGTAACACATGGTAACTTTATTTTGAATGCATACATGTTTTAACGAATCATGATTTACATTTTAATACAGTTGCATCTTCGAGTACAGTCTGTTTCTGAACACGCTGGTGATAATGAAAATTAGATAACGCTCTTATGAATTATTTCCTGTGATGGAAATAAATCCTATCAAATAACCGCGAATTCTGCTAATTATTGTATTCTTAAGTAGTAAATAATATGTTATTATCTGGTACTCATAACAAGCGAAGTTGATTTTATTTAGTTTTTTTACGGAGAAATATCTGATTCCAAAATATGATTGTAAACAATTTAAAGTTACTACTTTTCAATAAACCTGTAAACCCGGTTAAAACAAGCGAATTTAGGTTGCTATTTATAAGTAGATTTATTCTTGAAATTATCAAAAATCAGTTATAAAGTATTATAATTATAAGATGGCGGTTTTTTATTTGTGAAAATGGTTGATACAATGATTGTTTTCAAATAGAATCGAATTCTTTAACAAATTATATAATTATGTTCGTTCGAGAAGATTGGCGATACAAATGTACTTTTTACAAACGTCCAGACAACGAATGAATGTCATTTTACGACATTCATTCAAGTTTTACAAAAATCTAAAATTTTTCCTATTCCTGTATTAGGTAATATAACAAATTATGTAACTGTCTTCGAAATGTGTTACTAAACCTCTCGGAATTTTACAGTTTACAGTGGAATTTACTGAGGTGTTTGTAATCTTTGTCTGTGTTTTATGTGTCGTTCTCTTTAAAATCGATGTTTATTTTATTTTTTTCTGCATCAATCTCTCACCAGTTTTTTTAAACTTTGCTTTAGTATGCAACCACAGCAGTTATCAACTATTATTTTTTGTTCTTCCATCTATTTCTTCCCTTCATTTTACGTTCTCTTTTCCACCGTGCTTTCATTTCATTTTAAACGTATTATTACTATGATTTTGCACCACCCTGTCCGTATAATGTCAATAATGATTGCTGAATGATATTTTACAAGTGACATCCGTTGGAAGTGATGAGGGGGTACATTTTATTGCTTTAGATGTTGCTGTGAAGAGTTATGTTGGATATACTGCTTATGTTTCAGTGACTGTTTCTTTCCCACCGTTACGTCATTTTGTAATGTTGAGGTCAGTGTTGCGTGCCCCACAAGTTTTGAGCCAGAAATGACTTTTAACCTTGCCATTTGCTTGGGAATGATACATTCTAGTTCATCATTTACTTTTAAATATAACAGTAAATATGTTGCTACGCATGCCATCCAATAACTACACATGTTTTAATTTTTTTATATATTTTTTTCATGTCTGCATCAAATTTCGATCTCATATTTATGGACTTACAAGTTTTGTTTTGATATTTCAGCGGGAGATTTTCAACTGACGTCCACAGACCCTCGTTCAGATGGATGTTATTGAAAAGTTGGTTTTGAGTTTGTAACTTAGCTCTGTTTATATTTGTATGTTTATTTTATACGTAAAACTACACATTAGCGACTTAGCATAAAGATTTATTTACGTAATTTGGATGCTTCTCTGTTTAAGCAGAAATGAATCCTCGCACGAGCGTTTTGGATCAACAGAATCTGTTCTGAGAAGTAGATATAACAGCTGGATTGTTATAAATAATAATGATATATCTTCTGATTCTTTCAGTGTCGCCTTGATTTATCTGTGTCGTATGCATTTTGCTTTGTCGTTGTGTATAAAGCATGATATTAACGTGTCCCTAGAAGTAGTCACTAGCTGTTCTGTTCTGCAACACACAATCCCAGTGAATGATTAATTTTGCAGTTTCACGATATTAATTTTTGCTTGGGAATATTTATTTCCAGTTTAAAGTTCCGCACCTTGTATTTATCATTTCCCTTTTTTATAGTAAGATTTTTTTATTTTTGTTTTAACGTTCACTGACTTGTCAACACACTTAGTGGAGCCTTCTGTGTTCAGTGTTTGTGTGTTAGATGTTAAGAATTAGACAGAGGATCCTTCGTGCTGTGGTGGTGCAGGGGCGAGGTCTAATAGATGTTTTGTCTGTTCCAGGAGTTACAATTCTCCTTTCCCTCACGGTGTTCCATAACCTGGTAGCCGAGACGCTACCTCAAGTGTCTGATGCAATGCCCGTGTTAGGTATCGGCAGTCTGAGACCATATAAATGTGTGGATTATTCCCAAAACATTGCTTGCCCCGTCCCTCACTTGTGCTGCACTGTTGGATGTATTTTTGATTTTGATACAGCTGTATTCAGTCTTTGCACACAGTCCAAAACTCTCCCGGAGCACCAGTAACTCGGCTCTTACTTGCTTCCACCAGATTCTTAATGTATATGTTTATTCCACTGTAACATGAAATATATTTGTGAAAAATGGTAAAAATTATTACGTAGGATTTGAGATTTTCACAGCGGCGAGTCTGAAGATGGCTGTCTTCTGGGATTTTAAGCCGTGTAGTCTAGTAGAAGTTTACCGACATTTCAGAGGTCAGGGCGATGAATGTGACATTCATCGCCCTGATGATGGAGGCAGTGTGACCTCTGGAACGTTGGTTAACATCGACCAGACTACACAGCGCAACAACCCAGAAGACGGCAATCTTAAAAAATTATTACGTTTCACTAATTGTTTTATTTGTGTATTGATATATGTAAGAGGAAATCTTTTGTTGAAAACAAGGTGTTTTATTTTATTATATATGTTTTTTTTAAAACCATGATATTTGTTACAGAACGACGCATGAAAATCAGATGAGATTTATTGTTTTACAATCAACATATGTTTTAGATTGCGTATGGCTGTTCAGCTTAATTTTTTATTTTCCCTGATCGATTATTCTCATGCTTAAGACTCGCGACTAATCATAATTTTAACATCAAAATGTACATACGAATTTCAATATTCATATTCATGTATCAACGATTTCATTCATTTAATGCATACCTCAAATTTAGTTGGTTAATACGTATTTCAACTCAAATTGTTGTGAACACATTCTGTGTTCATGCTGTATACCATTATTTTGAAACTCAAAATTCTATTTCGCTCACGTGTCTGAATCGGAAAACAATCTGCACTACTTTCTTCCATGTTCCGACTTAAGATAACACGGCTGTTCCTACTTTATTAATAAATTAGCGTTTCTCATAATACAGATTGTTTCTAAAAATCACTTAATTTACTAATTAATTTAAATACGGTAATATTCTATTATATTAAAATTTCGATTTCTTTACATCCTTGACTGTGATGCAATTAGCAACTTGTAACATCGTAACTAACGACATTACAAACTTAATTTTATTTTATCTTATTGATCTTAGGGGTATAGTCTTGCAGAGCTTAGCACTCAGATTCAGGTATGAATTTTTATGAGACACTGTCCTCATTGCCAATTAATACAAACTTTTCGCTTTTAAATGTGGAGTTGAACGATAAACAGCCCATAAGATGCACATACTTATGAAGTTTCCGTCTCAAACATATCTGAAATTAAAGTTCTTCCTGTCTTTTGTTTTTAAACAGGCATACTTCATGTCTTGTGTTATATGAAACAGGCTTACATTTATTGCACTTAAAAAATCCTACCGTGTTTAAAAATGTCATTTAAAGCAGGGCGCCTTTTTGTCCGTCCGGCATTATAAAATATCTTGACCACAGCCCGGATTACTGGTGTTAACGTAAATTATTCTGAAGCGTAGTCTAACGTTCATGTATAGTCGACATAGTAGTTTCTGGCCGTTGGAATTTTCAAGGGGAAGACTAGGAGCGAGTCTCTTTTGCGATTGTATAATGCTGACTGCACCGAGGAGCTTATCGGACTGAACGCCCAAACAAAAGAAAAGCACTGACCGTGCCACCTCAGGTACACAGAGTAGGCCCGTCCGCCAGCTCCGCTAGCTTCTCCACCGGCCAAGAACTACTGCGCCGACTATACCAAATACTAACATAAATATTATCATAATGTATTCGTTCGAAACTTTTGGACTGACAACAAAGAATATGACGTCTGAATACAGCTTTGTCACTAGTTTGGTGTTTGGAGGCGCTACTTAATTTCACGCTCATGTCAATTACGTTTCATTTTGTATTTGGGTATATGCAAGTTACACATATTCATTCACACAGACATACAAACTAAAGAAGAAACACATTTATTTAGCTAATATGTTATTCTCTTCCGAAGGAAGGTGATAAGACTTCCATTTAAGTAGAAGCCTTGTGTCTTAACACGCACAGGGGGAACACTAAACACAAAGGAAGTGGTCAGTATTTTACCAGGATCTTTTCGTTACAGGGGTCACAATTCTACTATCCCTCTCTGTCTTTTCTCTCATGATTGCCGATGCTTTACCGCAGACTTCAGAAGCAATTCCTTTACTAGGTCAGCCCCTATTGTTCTTGGAATGAAACGAAACAAATTCCTACTTGAGTTGTATTTATATTTCTTCCTACTGTTGTTAAAACCTCATATCCTTCCCTTGCTTGTTACTGGCCTGTGGTAAAGGTGACTAATAGAATGAATATATTTATCGCGATTTTAAACACCGCGTTAGCCATAATGATGGCAGTCCTTTAAAACTGATTGATGCTTCAGAGGTGTGTACTGCCTCCATTATCAGGGCGATTAGTCAATTTTATATATTATATAAAATAATAAATACGATTATATTACGATTGACAGAAATTGACTAGACGTCTTTATCGCAACTGTACATTTTTAACGCTTAGGAATATGTGGAGTTACACCTCTAATTCTTAATGAGTACATGGACAACTTTTAACATTTATCGGAAATGTGCCAGACTTATTAATAACCGATTACCCGTAATAAATTTTATTTTAAAAAAATCAGTAGGCATATGACAGTGGTTTGCAGCCTAAGATCACAACTCAGATCACGGTAAAAAAAAAGGTCATACGTAGGGTCGTGAATTTGATATCATCAGAATTATTTTATTTTGATGCTGTAGTGGCCGGAAACCTGGAAGAATTATTCGCTGGTCTGTCCAGAATCGCAATGAATCACTGATACATTTCAACTCTATGTATATTTCAGTTTCATCACGTGATCCTGAAGTGTTGAGAGCTGCTTCCATCTTTACCACAGAGCCCCATATGTTGCTATGCAGAATTTATAGATATCACATAAAAAGACGTGTATTATTGTATGCTGTGTTTAATTTTGCATGACATAGAGACCAAGTTTACGTATGTTGTAAAAAAAAGTGTTTCTCTGCATTGTGTATCTTCTTATAATTGTATCTGTTGATAAATTGGAATGACATGTCTAATCTGATTCATTAAAGCAATAATCTCAAAACCATGAGCCTGTGGGTGCATTCGTTGCCCTTAAAAACTGCTGCCAACTGCTGGAAAAACGAATAAACAACAAAAGAATAAAATACCTGTCTTCCTGACTGTTCAACTGCTACCAATCATTAACCATTATTATAATTATTATGTTTAATAAACCACGTTATTTTACAGATACTGCAGAGGTACTACTTCTACACTGATATCAGCTGACATATTTCAACAAGTGTTTCCTTCACGTTCCTTCCCGCCTTTACCCAACAACTTGAACCAATTACTAAAACTAAATCACCCAAAGATAATGAAATCAAAGTAACAGAAGTCGCATGAAAAAGAATACGATCTCTCATAGCGCCCCTCTGCCTCCAAGTAACAATACGAACGTTATTTAAACTTAACTAAAGTAGATAATTAAGTCTGACATCTAAACTCGATGTGTTTATATATAAAGTGGCATGGATAGATTAAAAAGCGTCCAGGGCATCTCCTTTTGAAGAGCCACAAGTAATCATCCAAGGTAAATCAAGATGTGAATAAAATATTTATACTCTTAGCTGAGTAAAATAAACACATGTAGTTAATATTTGTATGTTGTAAATGAACGTTTCTATTCTTTCGTTGTTACTAAAGTATAAACTTCTCTCAAGTTTATTATACATAAATTTCATTTTGCTAAATGGAATCTGGGAGGCAATTAAAAGTCAAGAAAATGAACACAGAGACTTGATAGATGCACTCTGAAGTTATTACACAAATTCTATAAGTAATTAATTGAATTTGTTCTCCTTTTTTAACTTTTAATATTATTTGATATAACAATACGATAAGTTTATCACAAAAAAATTGTTACACTACGTACATTTCGTAAATATCGATGATAAAAAATAGTCGATGTAAAAGTCGTATACCGATTTGTACTTTGTCTTATACAACTATATATTTTGCCATTATTTTTCGTAATATTTTGTTCTCATTCACATGTGAAGTAGGGGTACCGGGAACCGATATGAATAAAATTATATTGACAGCCACTTTAGATCCGCCTATATCAAAATTTTATCCACATCAATATACTATTATTGTAAATAAAAACATCAAAAACCTCTCTTCATAATAATTTATTTGCATCGTATAAATTATCAGTACAAAAGATTCTGCAGATTATTTTAACTCTCCCAGATTCCAAATCATCAGCGTCTTTGTCACTGTGCTGAACTATGACGTTAATGATGATGCGAAGTTTCAGCACGTGTGATATAATTGTTCTATACACATTATAAAGCATCCAGATTTCGTACTCAATGCATGGCTTTAATGTTCATAGTAAATACAAATTACTAAATGACTATATGACAATATATGTATCTGTAATATATTCTCGTGTAAATATTGTATTTATTGTGTGTACTGCACGAGGTAAAGGCACACTAATATGGTAAATGATCTGTGAACAGGCATGATGAATTAAATCACACTTGACTGATGAAATGATATTATCAGCCTGATCTTTATGTAGCTTGTCATTAAAAAATATAGAAATTAATATTTTAATACACTGCTGATATAAAGGTATACTTATCTTTACATGTGATTTCAATTTCAGGTACTTATTTCAACTGCATTATGTTTATGGTGGCTTCCTCAGTAGTTTCAACTATTTTGATTCTTAACTACCATCATAGAAATGCAGACACACACGAAATGTCTCCTTGGGTAAGTTCAGATACATTCCTACAAACTTGTCTGTAACTTAATGAAATATAATCTTATTTAAATAGTCTGTAATTCTTCAGTCGGTAAACAAATCCCATTTTATTCGGAACACAAAAATTGATTACTGTCTTCACAATATAAATATTATTGGATTCAATTCAAATCTTCATAAGATCCATCTTATTCCCTGTTCCCCCTCTAAATGTATATTTAAAGAGTTTCCTGGCTACATTTTTATTGGCAATTTTCGTTTCGTGTTGTATATTATTTTGTTTATTGGCTACGATGTTCAAGTCAGAAAGTACTCGGTACCCTTTATTCCTATTTGTTTCATATTTATCTATTTCCAAATGACTTACGCTTATAACACATTCTCTATGCTACATGAAAGTAAATATTTATGCAGGGTCGTGCTAGTATAACCCGTCTGACCACGTAGTGCCGGTGACGAATTGCGGAAACTGTTGGCTGGTGACGTAAGGCTCCGTACTGTAAATGTAGTCGGACAGGGTATAACAGGTTGTATCGCTGCCGGTCGCATTTCCTGATTATGTGTGTCTGCCTAGGGAGGTGAAGGACAGGGTCATTTGCCACATCTTTCCCGATCCACAATTCATGGTCGTCAACTTTACATTCCTTCAGAATTTGATTCAGCGTATTATAAACCGAATAAATGGCATCGTCCTAGTGACAAAGCCATGAGTACTCAGTACAAGCCTCGGAGATATGTCTTGCCCCGAGCAGGATTTGAACCCAATATCTCGTTATATGAGCAAGCCATTGTCGTTTGTAGTTTCAAAAACGCAGCCAATGTAATAGGCGTTTGTCATTTCATGATAGTTTGAATCGTTCTTTTAAGAAAACCTGTTTATGGAAAGTAGTTACCTTGAAGTGTCAGAAGATGGCAGGAGAGTATAACTTCATTTCTACTGTGAAACACCAGAAGTATTAAAATGAGGCTCCTGTTCGTGAAATCTTATAATTGACGTGGAGATGGTTAATTTTAATATACTTTATTGTTTAAATTTTGATTATTATAGCACACTTGTGAATAATGGTTTTAATTTCTGTGATAAAAATAAATTTACTATCGTATACAGAAAACAATCATTTAAAGACTAGTGGTAATTATATGTACCATCAATTTCTTTAAATATCAACATTGCATTTTTATCGCAGTAGATATATATTTCATATGATTTTCACAATATAATTTCCCTAAACAGCATTAACAAATTGATCTTTTGATCTTTGTAATATCGATTCATTGCGTTTTCTTTGCGGTACAGGCTGGAATCTAAAAAAATAATTTAGACGAGCTTCTGGCTTCAGATTGTTCACTTCGATTGAAGTTGGTCGGGTTATTCGATGGGTCGACCATGCAGCCACGCCCATTCCATATGGATTCGTCTGGAATCTCAGACGTATTGATTCGCTGTGTGTGTGTGTGTGTCTCTTACTGCAGTAGACGCATGCACCAGTCAGCTCAGCGCGACCCACATTCAAAATCCAAAATGTTCAGACCGTACGGCCTTCAAAGGATGTTACTTCGCGTAATTGCGCCAGTGACCTACTTTTAAGATCGAACAGAGAATGAATTAGACGGAGTATCTCGATTTAAATACCTATTGCTTTGCTCAAGGAAAATACTTTGCCTTATTTGCTGAGTGAAGACTTTCTTCTAATTCCTTTGCTTCATTATTTTACTCATTTATTTAATTTCCTTTCTGTCCATCTATCCATCCATCCAATCACACTTCCTACTTAGCCTACGTTCCTTCCTTAAGGAAGGTCTTATGGCTTTACCATGCTGCCTGTCCCAACCTTTTAACTCCAAAACGAATTGAGCAGTTTTCAAGGAATTTAGTACGGAGATTGATTATAAACTTACTTCTGAATTGTGAAAGACACGTTGTTTTATGAGTCAGCACTTAACATACATGGCGACTGCGCGTGTCTTTGGGGTTATAAAATATTAAATTTGGCAAATTGATATTCCCAATTGTTTCGAATAATAATAAAAAGCAAGTTTTTATTAACATTGGGAAACAATAAAATCATTGTGACAAGGGTATAATTCTATCTGGTGACAATCTACACACTAGCTCAGTACACGAACACTTTAGCTAAACTGCAAGCTGATTATTTTATTTACGCAGAGGAATTTTAAAAATTGAAATTCTTATCTCGTTTGCTGCTTTATGTAAAAGTTCAATACATGCTACTGAGTTCAAAACCCTGCCTTAAAAAATTAAGTTTTCTACGTAAGAATTTTCTCTTAACAGCTGCTGTAGGATAAAATTTTAAATAAAAATTTAACTCTCTACTAATCAGTACTCATTTTAATATATTTTATATTTGAACACGTGTTATGTTAATTTGTCGTTTTTAATAAGTATAGTTAAAGACGACGAAAATTTGCTGTTAGTTTTAAAAATAACAGCGCTTAGGTCCAAGACAAGAAAAGAAAGGTTGTTTCTCCGTGTAATCTGGTAGAAGATTACCGACGTTTCAGAGGTACTTGCTGCCTTCATGTTTAATTCCAGACTACGGCGAAACACCCCAGAAGACGGCATTGTTTATAGTCGCCGCCGTGAGAACCTCAAATCTGACTGATGTATGTGCATTCAGCTGATGTGAATTTGTTCATCTGTTTAAGATAAAAGCGATCTTCTTACACTGGCTGCCTTGTATACTGAGGATGAGTCGCCCAGGGGCGGAATCGGATTCTTCTCGGAAGACAGCGCAGAAGCGCGAGATGGAATTGAAGGAGCGATCTTCCAAGAGTCTTCTCGCCAATGTGTTGGACATCGACGATGATTTCAGACACCACCCTGGGGCCCTGCAGACATCGAGCGCTGTTTCTGCAACGGGATACCTTCGAGGTTCCCACGCGCACCACGACGATGGAGGGGGCGGTGGTGGAACTCTCCTACATGGGGGCAGTGGGAATTCTTCTACGTGCCTCGGCCCTCACCGAGAACTTACCCTGATCCTCAAGGAACTCCGCGTGATCACAGACAAGTTGAGAAAAGAGGATGAGGCCGCAGAAGTGACGAACGACTGGAAATTCGCCGCCATGGTGGTTGACAGATTGTGCCTCATTATCTTCACGCTGTTCACAGTAATTGCAACAATTGCCGTGCTGTTCTCGGCGCCACACATCATCGTGACATAATCGCCGTTTGTTATCTTTATTCATTATTGTATAATATTGGTAAATTTGTGCATCCCTGACAGGTTAGCATCACACCAAATCAAGTAGGGACTCGTGGTGCTAAGACCTGACTCGACTTGACTCACGAAACGGACGACAGATGACTCTGACCGGTAGGGGATAACAAGATATCTTAGAAATAAATAGCTAGAAATTGAAACTAGAGGGGAGATATTTATAAAACAGATGACTATCAACTTGCGCGATACAACGATTGGTTGTATTGTTAGCTACAATCCAGTGACTTGTTCGTAGTTATTATATAAATAAATTATTAATGTGTCACCACTTTATAAGAGAAAAAGTGTGTGGTTTTCACGAATCGCAATACAATAAATTTAGGTTGTATTGTTCGTATTTCTCGAGAACACACAATACAATAACTAGATATTGTTGAGCTTTGAGAATTTTGGTTGTGAATAAATGGTTGATTGTTCTTTTACATTTTATGAACGGGTTATCAGATGATTCTTCCGCGCATTTATATTGCTAATAACAAGTACGGACAATGTTAACTGAATCTTTTTTGTGAGGCTATTCAATCGAGTCATCGTTTTGATGACTTTTTTAATAGATACGTTTTTTATTGAAACAATGAACTAGGAATTGGTATTTCATATAAGTACCAGAACAAGTTAGTAGGACGATTCGTAGCCGATGTTTACATTGTAATTGAACATCACAGTCTGTAGTTACGCTGTAGAGACATGCATTATAAAGTTGTTCACATTTTTTGTAATGAGAGTGAATCTGATATTTAACTACACATACCGTCAAGCTAAATGTGAATCAGAGTGGTTAATAATTTAAATAATTACAGTTTCAAACACGCGCTGAATGACGTTTACCGATATGTGTACAAGTCAGACAAGTTACTGATCATTCGTGGAATTACGTACAGACAATAGATCTAACCTATCAAGTTTTCATTGTGCCTATCATATTCAGAGGTAACACGCAGTGCAACAGTGTTTTGTCATTTTATATTATACTGACGAAGTCATCTTGTCTTCAAGTAATCATTAAAGTCATCTTCTACCAGAGTAAGTTCTGTCTTACGTATTGTTTTAGATCGGCTTGGTATTATAAAAAGTAAGGTTATGTTACATGTTTTAATTCATATCCACATATTTCTCATCTGTTGAGAAAGAATCCAATGTAGCAATGACTATCACAAAGTGACTTTGTTCCATGAAGCATGAATACTAAACTGGAATATGCAGTAGCATGTAGTGTCGTGGTGAAGTCCTGAGTAATTTTTAGGTTAGGTTTAAAGTGAATCTTTGATCGTCATCGAATAAAACATGAGTATTGAACTGCACAGGCCAATGAATCGAGCCTCGTTAGCCCACGACTTATTTTACTAATCTATTACGCTGAACAGAGGGATAAATGCGAAATGCTCATTATATTAAACGTTGATGCTGAAACAATACTAAATAGGAAGTCTGCAAGTGAAAATCTGCCCTTTATTTCCATATAAATAGTATCGTAATATATTCCTGTGCCAAAAGTTAAATGAAAATTAATTTCTCATTTATGGTGACCCACGCTCAATGTATGATATCTTTAGAAAGTGATACATGTAGTTACTTCTAAAGCATAGTATTTAATTTTATTATTAAACAATTAAAAACAGTAAAGGCACTGGTAAAGCTATATAGGAATAACAGAAAGATAAATGTATTTCTAACCTATCAGTGGCGGTGTTATAGGTGATCAGTAGAAAATTGTAAATGTCTGTGTCTTATATGAGAATTCCAATGTTTAACCTGGAAATTTTAATCTGAAATTATGTCTTCAAAAGAAGTGTCTTAACAGGCAATGGTCTGTGAATGACCAAAATGTCACCAGACAGTCCTGTCGCTTAACAAAAATGATCTAAATGGATCTAAATGGGAATTGGGGATTTTTCTATGCCCTTCTGTAGACAAATGGCTAGTTAATTTGGGCAGTCTAAAGAACAAAGTGAGATTTCAGGTTCTTATGGCAACAGTCTTGAAGACAGGTGTCTTCACGGATGTTTGACAGGCAGTATGATAATGATGGAGGCAGTAACCCCCTCTGAGACATATGTTTGAATCTACCAGACCACGTCTTACATAATCCCATGGTAAAATCACTTTAATCTATTGTCCATATGCTTTTTCTTAAAATAATGTTCTGTGTACCCACTATTGTAGTTTAAGATTTGCCGTAATTGTTTCCTGAAGTTGTCCGACACTCACTGCAATAAACTTCTATCAGTTCTTTTGACATCTTCCATAATTCGATTTTTTTAGAATTTCAGTTGAATGAGCATAATTTTAAACACCTTGGTCCTTTGGTAGTCTAAGAAGTCGAGAGCTAGGTGTTTAGCAAAGAGACTGTGCTGATCTCCAAATTTTGAAATCAGATGGCATGGAAACTTTCTCTACAAAGTACTAATTATATCTCTTGTATTGACAATAAACTGCTTTAAATAAATTTCCTAATAATTTTTTTAAAATTTATTAGCCATTTGCCTTCAGTAGATCACTGGGAAATACTCTGTTTCATTGGAAGATTCTTTATATCCACCTGTTAAAGTAAATTAGTGTAGCTTTAGTTAATTAAATTTTACCCTAACACACGCAGTCCAAATATTTATTTTGTCAATTTATTTATTTTACAGTTCCACATTTTTGTACCATTTTTTTAAGAGTTTTATCATATAATGCAGTCTTCAAAGTACATATGTATGTAGTTATGTGCTTTGAAAACACTTATATAAACTGATAAAGAAGAGAGATAATACATGGGAACACAAAAATAGATTTTACCACTTATATTCAAAATTGTGAATAAATTTGGGTTATTAATTAATTAAATAAATCCAAGATTAAAAAAATTGCTTGATGCATGATTTATATCCCCTTTGGTAACGTGGTAGATCTAGATGATAATGTATGTCAAAATCTAGAGTATAAAAGCTAATAAGCTTGTATGTTTCAGGAACAATCATCGTAGTATTCAACAAATCCAGTAACTTCAATATAAAACTATAAACATAAGCATGATAATATATTACATGGAAGTCATAAAGATTTTGAAATGAAACATTGAACACAGTCAAGCGTAACAAAAAGCAATTAGGCTCTATGTCACGTTTTACTAAAGACAAAATATATAATTCAATTGAATTTGTATATCCTAATATTTCTAGAGAAATTTACATTATAATTGGTGATATTTCCATTATAAATTGTGAAATTACTTTTGAACTACATATATTGACATTCTATAAATGATCATATTTAAATCAACAAAAAATAATTTTTTTTGTGATGTAGTTACATTATCACTAACAGATTTGTCAATTTTATTAATATCTTCCATTAAGCATTTATTATAATGAGATACTCCCTTGTGTAGTGAAACAGGATACGGGTTGGGATCATGTTCCCCTGACCATAAGTATTTACTAGTGACCATATATACATGAAAATAAATTAATTTCGGGCTGTGAAAAGCACAATTATCTGACACCGAGTATCTTGCCACTTTTGGGACTTTAATATATTTAAAGTAGGTATTTTCTTTACTCTCTAAATAGAAAGGAAGAACAAAATTCAGAATAAAATTTTGATCTATCCAAGACAATCAGCAGAGTATTTAAGGAAAATATGTTAAAGGTCATAATTACCATTCAGACTCAATAATTAGAATACTCACCACAGACTTGTTAGATATTTATTTAAATTTAGGTTTTGTAACACCCATACCACCGCCCCAAAAATTAATTTTATTGTTTGCTTTATCTAGTAAATGGAAGGACCAATTCAAATCCTTAACCGAATAAATTGTAGCTGAAATAACTCATATTCAGACAGATAAATTCAATCCACATCCTTACGCCATTTTCTTTACACATTTGTTTTAATATTATGTTTATATCCGCTTCTAGGTTTTTAATATAAAAGTACTGTATAAACCCAAGCAAATATTTAATATATTTACAGATTACTAAAATGAAAATAAGTTCTGAAACAAAGTTACTTCAATTTTCAATAGCCTGATGGATTCAAAAGTTCTTCTGTAATTATTTGTAGTTTTGAAGGTTTACTTCAGTTCTTCCAACTGAATACCAGAATACAAGTTTGAATTATAAATTAAAACTCTTTTTCAACATTTCCTCCCACTTCATTAATCATTATGAGTTTTTCATCCATCCGGTCCCTTAGCTTCATAAATGGAAAACATGTATCAACAATTTATATGGCAACAAACTTTCTAATCAACCCAAAGTACTTAAAATCTTGGAGATGTGCCTGATTATGAGGCACTTTGATTACATTATTAAATATATCAATAAAACGTTACATTGATAGCGGTATTTATTTTTCAAAGGATATTTCTGGGCTGTATAAATATGAGTTATTCAGTCTATAATTAAGGTCCTTTTGAAGCAAGGAGCAAAATTAAAGTTGGGAACTATAATATATTACATAATAATAATTAGAATTTTTTACTCAATGCATTTTAATGTGTAAACTCTTTCACATTTCTAACGTTAAATGTGTTACATAAGGGCGCTATATATTAGAATCTCTATTTCTGTGCCAAATTGTGTGCTGAATAATACATTCAGGCATCTGAATATTAAGATTTTGGCTATATTCATAATGTATTCAAATACAATTAACATACTGCAACTATGAAAACATGGACAATTTACCCTTCTTTACTTACAACAGTCAGTATATTATTCGTGTCTGCTCCGCGACAGTAGTAGCCAAACACGATCTGAATTACTTGTCTAGCGACAGGCATGCATTATAACTGTGCCATAATACATTTGGTCATATCACAATTATCAGCATATCATAGATTGTATCCTGTTCCAATTAGTTCAAATTTGAGCATAGGTGTTGTAAAATTATTGTAAAATTCAATTACATTCTAGATTGATATTTTCTAGTATGCATATTGATTCAAAATCACAAAGGATCATTGTTAAATTTAGTTATGTTATGCCCCAAACCATATGTTCAAGTATACATGATGCCACAGAAATAAAGTAAATTTCTTTTTTTCTTGCTGTCAAAATGTTGAGATTTCAGAAAAATATTATTGGTTGACATGACAGTTTTCTTTTGATGCAAGTTTGATCCTCTCTTATAGGAGTAATTCTACTATTATGATGGAACGTAGTTGGTTCTGACAAATTTCATAACGCGTATGTCTAAATTTTGCGAAGATCTATCGCATGCACACAAACTGTTTCCATTCATCTCAATCTTTGGAATCTTATTAACTATAAATTCCATCTGTTCACTATTCCATTATGGAATGCTAATATCACCTCTACTAAAGATGAATTACGCCCTTTTTTATTCGTGAAGGCACACATTCAAAGGCATTTTATCGACACATTGAAATAGCGAATGCTAAAGGTTACTTTTTTGTTGTCGCTTGTGGTCTTCTCAGCTGTGATGCCATGTACCAACATTCTGGAGAAAGCTGAAGATATTTGGGATATAAAATGAAATTGATACGTTCCTCCAAAAACACCAGAGCCGTACTGCAACGACTCAGAAAACTACGATTATGATTTTGAATGCTTTGAAACACTCACATTTCATATGTTTTCATTTAATGTTGTTGTATAATTTACATTATATTTAATAAGTTCTACTAACAATGATTATGCCCTTTTCTGCCAAATCTTAGTATTACAGACCATAAGAATTGCTCGTCGGATAGGGAGAGAGGTCATATCCCAGATTAGAAGGGGAAGGTATGGAAAATTAACTGTTGTGTACAGTAAAGTACTGTCTTAGCTTATGTATGAATTAAATGCAGCACAAAGCTAGTTTACATATTTTGGACTGTGACAGATTAAACAGTGCCCGTGTTATTACCTTTTACAATTTACTTTCAGGGAGAGGTTTACGAGAGTTGAACAATAAAAGGTTGATACAGTAATTTTAACCAATGAGTTATATTGTAAAATTCAGTTTTAATTCACATTGCTTCAGTTTATGCCTCTGCATAATTTATATCTTTGAGGATGAAAATTTTACCGAACAAATCGTGTGATAATAACAGTATTGTCTTAAAATCCTCTAATACTATGAAGAAAAATATTTGCCAGCCATTTTTCCATGTAATTACATGGTCTGCAAGTTACAAGTTTGCAGTTTGAGATAAAATATAAGAAGTGCATGTCAACTGTCAGTTTCTCAGTTGCATGTGGACACTGTAGGAGTGTTCTAGCTCCATGCATATTAACAGCTTTCATTTATCTAGAAATGTTGGCATCAAACAGATGTAAAAGATGTCTTATAATGAGGTGTCATTTTAAAAAGAACCTACATAAATTGGTATATAACATAATTATGTGTAAGACTTTTCAGTTACAGTATTAACATGTTCATATATGTCTACATTTCACATATGTTTCTGAGTAGATGGGCATGTCGTATAGCGGTATCGTCTAGCGGGTATATTTGACCCACATGGAATGGTGAAAATTATCTTTCAGGAAATTTAGCTGTAATATTAAAGCATCTTGTCACGATATTGAATATTTATATTTATTCTATGACCTGTCATTGCAAACTTTTTTTAATGTATGTTACATTGCAGTGTAATATAACATTCACTTATAAAATTATGTATAGAAGTTTCGTATAACAAGCATCATCGTCGACTACGACATTCTCACAAACTGAAATGCATGACAAAATCAGACGTCGTATCAGATCAGCCACACATCTACAGGCTGCTTGTCCAACATGTAAGTTGCTCAGTAGAGTTTGAAGAATTAAAAATTAACATATTTTCTGCGTCGTGAACATGTTAATCACTGAGCAAAAAATAATTGTACTTAAAAACTACTATGGCCAAAATATATAATGGAATGTTGCATGTATAAATACAAAGCCTAATTATATATGCAACACCAAATTTTCATTTATAACAGCATTAGTCTTTTGTTATATTTTAAAAATGACCTTTGTATAAATCTTTGTGATTTTCCCTGTTGTTACAATGAGAGATTTAAGAAAACTTTGAATAATCTTTCCTTCTCTTGAGTGTAGTTACTGTTATTTCTCTAGGAAAAAGGAATTCGCAACATATTCTGAGTGAAAGTGTGGAAATTAATGGCAGAACAGAAGTAAAAATGTTTTAAGAAGTACAATTAACTTTTTTAAATAAGAAAGTAAATAGTGGCCAGAATGTGTGTCATCCTTCTTATTAGATAGTGACCATCATCGTCATTGCTCTGGGATTTTGTACAGTCTCCATGGATCTGTTACAACAGTACTAAAAGGTGCAACTCAAAAAAGTACTCAAGTACATTTCGCTATGGCTAATTACCTTCAAAATGTTCTGCCTTAAAGGCTTCATATTCTTACAAAGAAATATAACTTGTAATTATATTCAATATTTAAATTTCTGTAACCATTTATGCGCTATTATTTAAACTGTAAGAAAATTTATACTTTCATAACAATAGCTATATTAAATTTACCTAAATTTATCAAAGGAGTTTGTTTGTATTTTAAGTAAAGAGCACGTAACTTTGTTTCAATAAAATTTGTGTTATTTAAATTGGAACAAATTTAATTTAATACTTAATTGTATTGTACTCAGAAGGATACAAAATAGTGAGACAAATTATTATATTTCAAAGTATTTTACATAAATTTTTTGACAAATTAATTGTTTAAAAAGCCTTATTAAACACTGCATATTGGTAGCCTAAGAGAACAGATGTAATCACCTTCGTAGTCGTACTTTTAACTATTATGAACTTGATTTATTTTCAGTAATATTTTCTCAGTTTCTAATTGTAATTTTTTGTAATCATTACTTGCAAAATTATATACATATTTGTATTTCTCCATGCAAATAAATTATCAACTAGAGTTCTGTACAATGCAGTGAGAATGTCTCGTAACTTTTACACTAAATTACAAGTTTGTTTCACATGAACCACAATTTCAGTAAATATAATATGAATTTAGTATTGTTAAAGTTAAAGTTAAAGTTGAGTTTAACGCAGTCAGAATCCAGTAAAGTGTTGAGTGAAGCCTTATGTCAGGATTGAGGTTATGTTAACTTGCTGCCTTGTTGGGGCATTCCTATTTCTCAGGCAGTGGAGTAGAGGAATTTTGGTAGAATAATAATTTGCATGGGAAAGTTGAACTACCCTGAGAAAATTTTATCTGAATATCATCGTGCCCACAAAACCAACACGACTGCCCTTGGAGTAGCCCCATGAATTAGAAACGAAAGCTTAGTATCTAACAGTCAGAGGTGCAGCACATCTAAACTATTAAAAGATAAAATGAATTTATATATATTCAGTCTTCCAACTTGAATTATAGTTTATAAACATATTTACCTATTACAGATACCCAATTTATACAAAATTACTTTAGGTAAAATATTTAATAATTTTTATGTTTATCAAACTTGCATACATAAAAGATAAAATTGAGAATTTTATCAGATTAAATTTTCAAATTATAACACCATTTCGAGTCTGTATGATTTTAAAATAAAAATGTGATTACATCGATGAAAATATATCGATTAATCGCAATTTAAAAGATATTTTAAATTTTATTCCTGTGTTGTCTAGAAGATTTATGTTTTAAAAAAAATATTATTTTTTTTTTTGAAAGCTGGTAGTGCCGAGTGTGTTACATCCTACAGGTAGACGTACGAATTCCCAGAATCAACTTGACCTGTTTCTCTGCGACAATCTTTCTTCATTTTAAACATTCATGGTGCTGAGTCAGCTGTTGCATTCACATCAGCTGACTATAATATTTACTGTAAGTTAATGATGATAATGGGTCACCAAGAATGATCACACATGCTGTTTGTCAGTGTTATTTATGTAGATGATATTAAATAATTTAAAAATAAACACAGAGATAGGGACTTGTTAAATACTATATGAAAGTATAAGATACCAACCGTGAAATCACCGCGTTTCCGTCGGTGAGATACTTATATAATGTCTGTATGATATTAATATTTATTACATATATTATTCATGAGAAAAGAAGGGTATGTAAAATAAAGCCTGTTATTTTAATTGCAATTAATTCAAAGTTGCATGAGAACACAAAATACAATTCGAAAATATTTCGAATTAAGAACGCCTCTTTAAAACTGACTTTCTACTTGAATGGATGTTAATAAATAAACCAGTCTGTTGTAACAGAAGATATCACGTGGCCATTATCTTATGAATAATCTGACTATAAGGCTTCTTTAATTATAATTAGGCTTCTTCTACTGTAGATGTTTGTAGGTTAAAATATTCGCAATTCTGATTGCATGATATATATATACATATATCTGTAATGATACTGTCTTTCAGGTTTCAACATCCAATTGCTCATAGTGTTACCCTGTAAGAAATTTTGAGAAAAGATTGTTATCATAAAACAGTAATAAAAAATATATTACACTGTAATTATAATGTAAAATAACAACAATATTATGAAAATATATTAATTAAAGCATACCAGTCTACATAGAGACACATGTCACTTAATATTTGCCTCAGATATTTGTATTCAGTTAATTTCGATGAAGTATTGATGGTCATCTGAAATTTATATTGGCGATTACATCCGTCAATAATACGAGTTCCATAACAGATCTAGAATCGAGTATCCACGCGTTATTATAGCTCATACGGTGAGTTTAAATAGATTGAGAATTTTACTGTCATTCTAACACACAACTTGTAATATTAAATATTAAAATAATTTCTTTCAGATTTCCTACATGAAAAATATCAGATATACTTGCAACATAACAACTATAAGCATGTCTTGAAGATTATTTGTAGTTAGTTTTCCTACACCCAGAAGATAAGATTGCAGCGGGTACATGGTTTAAGGTGTGCATTGTCACTGGTAGAGCAAACGGATTCAAATCCTTTATGCATTTTTCAATGCCACTGTGAAGGTTATAAAAATTATCCTGTGCAGGAAATATATTTCTATATATTTTGGCTTTGATATATATGTTTGAATGCTCTTTTATCATTATCGGGTCCGCAGTGGCCGTGTGGGCCTTGTGCTGCTTGGTCGCTGGGACCGTGGGTTCGAATCCCACTCAAGCCATGGATGATTGTCTATGTTGTGTTGTCCTGTGTACAGGTAGAGGCCTTGCGACGGGCCAATGAAAAGTTGGGACCCGCAGTGCTCAGGCACTTGAAGAATGGGTCATTCCCAGTTTATCATTATCTGTCATAATTAAAATATTTTCTTATGGATAACCAGCTGCCCATTCACATAAAACATTTAGGGTTTAAGGATTTTTAAAGGAATTAAAGAATTGGGAAAATAGGAAAAGAGAAACAGATAAATTGTTGAGAGAAATTTTAGGTTATGTTAGCAATTATGAAGAATGCTGTCCTCTGGGTTGTTGTGCTGTGTAGTCTGCTAGTAGTTTACTGACTGCCTCCATCACTGGGGCAATCACCCTCATGATGGAAACATCAGTAAACAGGCATCTTCAGAAGAAAGAGCTGTGTTAAGTGTTTTTTGAAATACTTGAACCCAGGACAGGTATGATTATAAATTGTATTTTTTCGTATATTACATCCGGATTCTTCATTTGTTTCATGCTGATATTTTGATACGGTTGATTTTCATCCATCTGTGCCAGAACTAAAGCAGCAGTTACATTTTATTGTTCTTTCACAGTTTACTGTCCACTTGAGGGTGAACTGTTTACTCTGACAATGACATTGATAGGTTCTTAAAAGAATGATGACATGGCAAGACCAATAAAGCTAGAACCTCTTAGTGTGGCTGACAAGAGGGGAAAGAGAAGCTACACTTTCCTTAAAAATATAGTGGAGAAGAGACCAACAATGTACAAATATTTACCGGTTTGTTCTTTCTTATTCTTTGAATTGAATAATTGAAATGTATTGCTTCAAGATATTTTTATTTGCTTTAAGCAGACATTCTGATACAGTTTATTTTCATCTCTTTGCCATTAGAATTCAAGTATAAGTTTGAATGGATTTCTCTTCTTTAGTTTACTATCCACTTGAATGTGAATTGTTTATTGTTTGATGATGACAAGTCTTTAAAAGAATTAGCTGCATTAATAATATCGTAACCTCTTAGAGTGGCAAACGAGGGAAAATAAAATAAATATTTGATAGAATAGTTCTGACTATCTTCATTTGTGTAATTATTTAATTTGCTTAGTTGAAATTCAGAATTATATTATTGCTTACTTTTGGCACAGTCCCCAAATAACCTTATGAAGTAAGAGACCAGGAAGTGGTCAAGTGAACTTCTACACGAAGAAAGATGCAGTTCTGTTCACATGAGACTGTGATATTGTCCAAAAAGAGTCTCAGAGTTTTTTTGAACAGAAGGAGCTAAACTGAGCGTGTATCTGTGAGTCGAGGGACAGGAGATGATCAAATTTTGACTATGGGGAAGACATCTGACCTATTTGCATGTTTCGAAAAGTGTGTGAAGGAACCGGAATGAAACCAGATGAATGATTTGCATAGTTTTATAATATTCTTTGTGACAAGTTGCTGACTTTTTCTATGCAGATAATTGAAAATAGCTGACTAGTACAAAAGCGGTCTGCAAATATCAGTAATAGTAGCTCGGTTAACAAAAATCCGGACTGAAACTTATGACACCTTTGAAATAGCCTATAAATCAGCACGACGTTTACGTCACAAGTTTCCAGAAAGTTTTATAATATATATATATATACTTCCATTACCTGATTCGTAATCCCCCTCCCTCTCCTTCCATATTGCGGAAGTTGCAGTTCAATTGTTTCTTTCCGAGTGGGGGTATAGTACTTGTTCTCTTTGCAAAAGTGTAATGTTTGTTATATCTGTGTGTAGTTTTACTTCAAAAGAAGCACGTGGCTGAAACAGGTAAGCCTAAGACAAAGCAAAAACTGTAGTAATTTTTGTTGTTTATAGCTGTACTTGTATTCCATCTTTCGTTACCTTGGTATCTTGACGTGCTTTTGTAATCTTTGCTGACAAACCGAACTGTACTTCTGTTAATTTTATTAGTAGTAGGATGTTTAGACTTTGTTTGTGATGCGCTTTATGATGTTGAGGTTAACTTACGTTGCTTTCCTTTATGGGTGTTTACCTTACATTGAGGGGAAGTGGAGGGGGAGTTACTTTCGACTCTACAAAGTCCCAGGTTCTGTATTAAGCAACGTCGTGCAGATAAGTGTGACAGTGGGTGTATAACTACGAATTCCTTTTTCTCGGCACCAGATACAGGTCAGAGGTTAGCTTAACCCCCGACGAAACAACCAGTCTACATATTGGATAAGATACTGTTGGCCCTGGAGTAGATCTGGGTTTTATATTTTCTATATTTTTATCTTATTTTTCTCCAATAAATATTATTTATTTAGGAGGTTAGGTTAGATTGACAGTTCGATTTAAATTTTTAAATATTCATAATTCAGTCCTTAACGCAAAGAAAACAACACTTTGCCGTTAAAGCGATAATTTGGTTAATACTGTTCAGGGAAGTATTCTTTGTGTTTTAAGAATCATGCGAAAGACATAAAAACTGGAGAATTAGTCAGTGTTAAAAACAGGTGGTATTTATAGATGCAACTGAGCTGGCGTGAGGTATAATTATTATAAATATATGATCTGATTCATGTATTGACGATACTTTACACATGTATCAAAGAGGTTATCAGCTATTTTCACATAAGAGCAAAGACCCTGAAGCAGTAAGCAACTCTGAAAAGTCTGTCAATATCTACCGAATTACAAGGTGCACAATCCATTTTGATACTAAAACCTTTGAACACTTTTTAGTTTCTATATTTAGTAACAAATATACTTTGGGAGAAATTAATAATCTCTTAAATAAAAAATTGACGGTGGAACCACAGTTCCCTAGTTAACGTTTAACTGTAGAAGTATATTTGTACTGAAATAAAATTTTATTTACACATTATCTATACGTGACGTCATCCGCCTACAGCTTGTCTGTGTTACGTAATGTACTCGATACGCTCGCTCTGGAACCGTTCTTTGTTACGAAATAAATGGCCAAAACTCCTAAACCGTAAGAGTTATATCAAATCTGTTTGCAGATTTGAAAAGCCCGTGTTTATTTACGTATTTCACTCGCAATATGTACAGTTTTAACTCTTACGCTTTAGACGTGGCGAGCGGTTGAAATTAAGGAACGAGGGTATAGTTATTACATGTTTTGGATAATTATTTCAACAACGTGTAAAATATGCATTATAGAATAAATTAAACATCATATAGAAAAAGCCCTTTATTTACTCTTTAATTTACATAAGGTTTATATTCTCTATCTTACATACGTCTCGAGTTATTGGTGTTTGAAGAAGTTACACACCAGCGTTACCTTACATCTTACAGTTTCCGTCGAGTGTACCGTGATTTTATAAACGTTATTCAACGTTAAAAAAATTATCTGTAGGGACTGATGAAAATGGCATTAAACATTGAGAATAGACGTTACTCGGCCAAGACTCGAACCCGGCAACCGACGCAGTGAACTCGCATAGTGGATAATGCGTATCGTGTAAAGCATTGCCGCCAGATATCATCGCTATATAAAATAAAAGGAATTTTTAAACTGTTCTGTTGTTATAAAATTCTTAATTGAGATCCTGCACATAGTGTTAATTGTGGTTCCTCGTGAATTTTTGGAGAGTAACCCTCATTATCCTGCTTTCATTTAAGTAGAAGGAAATCTTTAACATTTATAATGTCAGATTAAGCCTATAGGGTTAGGTAAGTTTGTCACTTTGACTGCTTTCTGGTCAACGGTTTGGAATAATTATTTTCCATCTGTGACATGAATTTCCCGAAAGTACAGAACACAATTATTTATATAACTACAAAACAATGCATACCCCACCAGACTCTTTCTGTAAAATTGTTGTTTTCACATTTCGCCTCCGGCTTAGACTGTCCCCGCTTACTACGGATAAATTCAATTTTTAATTAATTACTTAGTTTAGACTTTCATCTTGATTATAAGACTGCTAGAGGCAAGATGTAGCAAATTACGTAATTTGTATGCATGCTCTCGTTCACTCGCATAGAGAGAAGACGCGTCTAGATTCAGACCAGATCGTTCTACTCGGTAGATTAATTTCAGTCCGAAGATCTATAGCTTAAATCTGATCCTATATATCAAGAGGCACATAGAAGTGTCTGTCTGGTTTCCTCGAAAGTCGGAAACATAAATATCAAGTGAATGAGGCATGTAGGAAAGCGTGAAGTACGCCAAGTGTTCCAGGAAACAGCAGAAAACTTTCTGCTTGGCATCTACAGCAGTGAATAGCACAGAATGTTCCATTGGCTGACGTTTTGATATGCAAAATATTTATTACAGCCTTCTCAAAAGACTCAATCCGCAAATTTCTTACCCACATATATCAGTACGTCACGACCGAGTTCTTATCAATTCTGCTTAGTATTCGGGAGGTCATGGGTTAAAATCTCCAAGTCCGAATATCTGATATCTCGAGAGATTTAGTACGGTTTCCCTCAGGCCCTCCTGTAAAATGCCGGGATTTTGCAGTAAAGTAGGCCACGACCGTTTAATTCCACATCCTATCAAATCAATTATTATTCTTGTTCTATAAAATTTGAGCCACTATCAATCATCCGTACCTAGTATCTAAATTAAGAATGAGAGAAAGCTATAGAGTCTCTCCCCTCAAGCGCCTACATGGCGTGTAGCAGGACGGGTTTTATAGAGTCGGCAAGTAAACCATAAACTTAACCACATGTACAACCAAGTATAAAGTTATTTTTCCTTTAATATTTTAAGTATTAGTTTTAAGCTCTTAGTCGTGGGAAGATAAAACACTCTTTAACACATTTCTTTGTGTGTTTCTTAGATTTATTTTACTTAATCTCTCTTAGGTCCAGTATCATTCTCGGCACTTTATTGTCAAACACCATTAATCTCTGTTCTTCCTTCAGGAAGACAAACCAAGTTTTACGCCCATAAAAAAAACATCTGTATCAAAGAGGTCAACAAAACAAAAACTTCAAGACTCTTCTTACATATCGTCCTATCAGCCACTTTCTTAAAACAACACGTGTTGGACACTGCTAGTAGTCAGATATGATACAGACGACGTTTCGGGAGTTTTCTCTACTCCCGTCTTCATTATATTGGTTGTTAAACTGACCCTCTTTAGTTTTATTGACAACCGTGGGGATAGAACCCGGTCACTTGAACGCGGCAGTAGAGCTAGGTCCCGAAACGTCGCGTATACCTCAGACAATGGACGATGTCTAACACAGCATCTTTGAAGAATCGGGTGCGTAAGACGTTTATCACTATGTTTCTTGGGTGTGATGTGCCCAGATACTAATCTTCGTGGAAAAGACAGGGACAGGGGACCAGAACACTGACCACCCTCCCCGTTCATCGACTAAGGACCGTCAACTGCTTTTGCGCCACGCCCGACTCCGCCTTCATTGCAGCCTCACTTTCAGCCCAGAAAATCCTCTGCCATCTTTTCATGTAAATCTTGCCCGCCCCATCGCGGTAAAAAAAAATTTTTCTTCTTAAACTCCCGCAGAGAGGAAATTCTGCAGAAATGTAACACATAAGCTCCATCCAACTGATATGAAGCTTCCAACTAATTTTGAGGTTTTTAAGTTTGCAGCGAAAAACCTCTTCTGTTTTAATACCAACTCCCACATTCGTGGTGCATTTGTTTCTGTTTAATAAGTCATTGTGATATAATCCTAACCATTATATGTGGCGTGAAAAATGTTACTCGTGAATTCCATAAAATGTAACCATGATAACGTATAATTACATCTAAACTTCGTTTTAATATTATACTTCCTTCTACCTCTATATTTTCAAGTGTCTCCTAAAACGTTTTAATAATTTCTTATTTCTCCATGCGTGCTACATGTCCCTCCCATCTAATTAGGCCTGAGAGCTATAGTTGTTAAATAACGTACCAAGACTGAAAAGATGTACTTCTTTGAGTACACTGATATTCCAAAATTTGGTCTTCAACCCACATCACAGGCGATGTCATCAGGAGAATAACCAAAGAATCAACAGATATTATCAACATTGATATCAAAGGCAATAATTGTATCTTAAGCCACTGTTGCATTAATATACCTTAAGTCGTAGTCGCATCTTTTTACGAGGTCGTCGTTGAATAACAGAACAATGACCTTTGAGGATACTGTTGAAAAATGCAATAGACAGACCTGTTCGCAATAGTAGACCAAATTCAGTAGCATTTTAATAAATTTCCATTGAGATTTAATTAATTGTCGTCATTTATAACCTTGTGACCCGCGAAACGATAAGAGAGAATGAATGTTGCCCTAAATTTAGAAACGGTTAAGAACCCCTTTTATAGTCAATAACGTATGCAGTTTTAAACAACCTCATTAAGAAACACCCTCCTTGAGAAGCTTATATTCGCATAGCTGTTCAATAAATTTCTCGATACCTGATGACTGATTGCCATGTTTACAAATGGTCGCCACTGAGTCGTATCCTGAGCTAGATGAATCCACGCCCTATTTTTAAAGATACATTTTAATATTACCCTTTATCGTTGAATAGCCTTTCAGTGTTTTCCAGCTGACACTGTGGTAGTACCTTAAAATAAGCCAGGTTCTTTTAATTATGCTGTTGAAACGAGCTGTTATGAACGAGTGAAGTGATTATGTCTCACTGAATGTCTTCGTAACGAGTAATACAGCGCCGCGCGAACAAACCCTCCATTTGGTCGATATACGGAACTTAGGCGTTACCGGGCATCGAGTCTCTAGCCCCGAAGGTACGTTTGACGGGATTGGTGGGTTGCTACGCGTCTGTGCATTATTAACAGCGTGCCCGGTCGGGTTGAGTACAGTGCGGGATCCTAGCAAGGCTGACATCGTTGTACTTCGCCTTATGTTTGGTTTATGCTACTTCATAGCGCTGGCGTCGTGGCGAGGCGGGGTTTCACGGGCGTCGGATGGAGCAGAATGAGCTAGGGCATTGTCTTTTAAAACGCGCCTAAATGTGTTGCAGTCTGCATACGTGAACGGCGAACGCATACCATGAATTCTTCAAGATTTACCGAGTTTCATTTATCTATACGAAGTCTCGGGTGTCAGTCTTGTGGCGTAAATGCTTGAGAAGAAAAGTTTTCTTAGTGTTAAGAAATTTTGCTGCCTTGGTAAAGGGGGTTCTTCCCATAGTGGTGGTCCACATGTGGGGGATCAGCAGAAGGAGGACCACCACTTTGCGTCGATGGAACTTCTGTACCGTCGAGTTTCGAACAATCAACAGTGTCGCTGTCTACGTCAGACAACAAATAGAAATCAACAGCAGAAGTTTAAAGGAATCTTCAGAAACATCAAGAGGAAAGAATTGACAACAAAATCACGTCATGAAGTGGTCTATGGGAAGCCTGAGTGATGTGGACATAGGAATTAGATTAAATGTACTCTGGAGATATATAGGAATTCATTATGAACACTGCTCTTTTCTCACGCCTTCAACATGAATTGATCAAAATATATTTATATTAACACAATTTTAAGGGACCGCCAGTCTTTATTTACATTTTTATTTCGGTAGAAATAAATTTAAAAATTTAAATAGCGTGAAGCAGTGTGTGTTTGTGTTTCAAATAAGCGTCAAATTTTAAAGTAAATCTGTTTAGTAGTGCGGAAAGTCTAGTGATGTCGATAGTGAGGTCGGAGTACATACAATAATGGAGACAGCAGGAACAAAGTGTTTGTACATGAAAAATAACGGGTCTCTCTGTTACCATAACATGGGGGCGGAGAGGTTCGGATTGCTGGTCTGCGTGGTGGCACATTGCAGCTAACGGAAGACGTCGCGCCGCTCCCATCATGACTTACGGGTTACGAACTACACTGCCCATTGGCATCATCCCAATTTCCCTG